ACCCGCGAAAACTGACCTTCGCTGGTGAAATTACCGGCCGAGTAGTTCGCTGCTGATCGTGCTCTCGCGCACTTGGCTATTTCGCGCGCGCGCGTGCTCGCGCGCTCACAATTGGAATCCGCGGCTGCGGGGAGGCCTCTAATTTTCCACCGTCTCGGGGCCCGTGCTCGGCACAATGGGCCCGCGGCAACGGGCCCCATCCCTCTCCCGTCTCGATGTCCTCTCTCTCTCTCTCTCTCTTTCGGGCGCAGGCCGGCTGCGCGCTATACGCGTGGGAAAGCCGAGCACGTGCGCAATCTTGGACCCCGAGACGCCCACAAAGGGCGCCTTCGGCTCCTATCGCGGCCACTTCTCCTTCGACAAACAACAGCCAACTGAGAATCCGAGAGACAACTTTGGAAACCGATGTCTGAGCGTCGCGCAACATCTCCTCTCCCCCTCGAGAGCAATCCTTCCGAGAGCCTTCTATGTAAAATAGACACGCTCAAATTGCGGTAACCGCTACGGACTGCTTACGAGAGCGGACTCTTTAAACTGGCTGGAGGCTACTCCAATTTCGCGAACAACGGGCTGCGCCACGAGCCACGGAATCCGCCGTAGGTAGACGGCGAGGTCACGGCGAGGTCACGGCGCGATTCAGGTTCTACCGGATATCGTCGGGAAGTTGTGAAAGGCCGCGCCGCGCCGCGCGCACGCACGGAAGTAACACCGGCGTGTGTCGGCATTATGAGCACGTGCCGTGGAGCAGCGCTATTAAAAAAAGAAAAAAAAAAAGAAGAAGAAAAAGAAATTGAGGTGGAGAGAAGGTCGTTTAAATAGGGCAAAGTGCGCGGCAGGGGCTCCGACGTGCGCACACGGCGCCAGGTGAACCCGACGCCCCGTGAGAATGTCCCGTTCTCGCGTCTCGTGTACTTCTTCCTCTTCTCTCCCTTTCAATATTGTCGCCGTTGCTCTACCGCTTCTCTTGCGCCTCGCCTCTTTACTTCACACGAGCTCCAGAGAATCCGCCGCATTACATTGTACGAGTCGTGTCAACCGCGCGCGCACACGCCGAAACGCGACATTGCTGCGGTAACTGACTCCATTTCGGTATGAATCCATTTCCTGCCTGACTTTTCACAATGTTTCACGTCTAGCGTCTAGCGCGCCTCTGAAGACTGTGTGTGCGCGTGTGTCTGTGTGCTATAAACACCATGTTATAATTTACAGAACTGACGTTCTCCAGAGGGGACGACTGCTTAATTAGCGCGAATATCATGTCCTGTTGCAGTGTCTACCTTATGGGACCTCACCTTTGGATGTATCGAGCCATTAAGCGGCATGAATCGACGCGTGTGAACGCGTTGCGAAGAGGGGTTGATATCGCGGGGTATTAACAGGGGTGGAGAGCGAAGAGAAGGGAAATCATGAGCACATTGGCACGAGCCAAGCGGCTCGTGACATATGCTTGTGAACAGCTGATGTACTTCATAATAAGTTTCTCTTTCTCTCTCTCTCTCTTCCCCCACCTCTCTCTCTCTCTCTCTCTCTCTCTCTCTCTCTTTCTCCCCCTCTCTCTCTCACTCTCTTTCTGTATCTATCTTTCTACGAGTGAAGCGGGCACGCGATCGCACGACCCCGCATGCGGCATCGTATGTATGCACACACGCCGGAGAGAGAACCTGGGAAAGTAAAAACCTCGCGAATAAGAGTGTGAGAAAATTCGTGCACCGCCGCATCTGTCGGCTCGATGTTACAACAACAACGTTACGACGAGAAGTTCATCGGACCGGCAAACGCGTTGCTGTGTGTGTGTGTTGATAATTGATTTTGTTGCTACGTACGCAGACTTGATGTTGAGGAATTTACCGCGTTTCTCGTCGGGACTTGCGTCGCGTAATCGTGATTAAACAGCGAATTAGATTTTTTTCAAAACGAAATACGGGAGATCTGAGTCTTTATGTAGACCGCACGTATCTTTGCGACATTATACTTATGTGGCTAATTATAAAGAGAGAAAAACATCCCAAGAGATTCTAAGCATTTCTCTTTTTTCAAAATTTGCACGGCTGTATTGAACTACACAAAGCTCACTGCGGATACAAATGAGCCGCTTAGATTCTAAAGTTTACTCGGAGATGCAATTGCCGACATGTCACGTTATTTTGTATCGTGTAAATATTCTAATATCAGGTAAATTTCTAATTGACACGTCGACTTGAAGCGACATTTCCTTCCTTCCCTTTTTCCTTCCTCCCTTCCTTCCTTCCTTCCTTCCTTCCTTCCTTCTTTCCTTCCTTTCGTCCTCCCGTTCACCACGCCGTTAACCTCGCGTGCCACGTGCTACGATGTAAGCACGTGCCAGCTGCCTGCGAAAGGCGCGGACACGTGGATCGAGCGTGATGCGAAATCAATTCTATATTGTCTATCGACACACTCATGTCGTAAAAGCAATAACGAATAATAAGGTCCGGCGTGTGACAGGAAACTGACTCTAGCTTAATCCGACACGTGACGTTATTATAGAACTGCACTTTAACACGTTATCGCAGCCACGTAATCGCAGCTTATTTGGCCAGATCGATACGAGGATCCAACCAGAGCACTCGGAACACTCTCAAAAGTCGAGATTCAAAATTAATTCATCAACTGAAATCATATTTTAGTCTGAATTCATATCACGCTTCCGTCAGACACGCCCAGTTTTTGTGATCACATTTACGTTACGTAACGCTTAAATCACTCAAGTCCCACGACATCGCGCTAATTAGGTCTCACGAGATCGCGTGGGGCGAAAAGATTCGATCAAAAACGCGGTGGGACGTGCGCGCACAAGAGGAAACGAACGGTGCTATTTCGCGATCGTGTGAGATTTTATCAAAGTACTGCCGCGTCCTTAACGATATGTGCAATAAGTCGATACAAGGAAGATATTCGAGGAAGGTAGAAAAACTAGGATAGAGGAGGAGAGTAAAAACAAGCTAGAGGGGAGAGGAAGAGAAACCGAACAAGTAACCCTAGCAAAAGCTGCAGTAGCAAAAACAAGAAGAAGAAGGGAAAAAAAGAAGAAGAAGAAGAAGAAGAAGAAGAAGAAGAAGGAGATGATGATGATGATGATGATGATGATGATAATGAAGAAAGCGAAGGAGAGAAAGAGGAAAAAGAGAAGAAGGAAGAGGAAAAGATGAAGAAGACGAAGGAGAAGAGGAAGAATGAGAAAGAGGAGAAGGAGGAGGAGATTGCCGTAGGGTCGTAAGAGCACGAGAAGGGGAGAGAAGGGCTCGAAACGAGCGTGCGTAATTATTCGGTGCGAACGACGTTTAAGTATCCGGCTCGCCGCGAAATAAGCAAAGTGGTCGGTCGGCCACGGGATGACGGAGAACGGAAAAGGAAAAACGAGCGGACGAAAGGCAGAAAAAAAGGAGGAAGAGACACGAAGTATAGCAAAGAGAGGAGGAGATGTAGAGGGATGGCATGGCCATGTAGGATGTAATTCAGTCAGTGGCTGGCCGAAATTAGTATCTCGAAGTCCGCGCGCGCGCGCGAGCGAGCGTACCCGAGATACTCGTTTCGCGCGATGACTATCCAAAGGAATAAGGAGCGGAAGGACGATTTTACGAGCATCCCTGCGAAATTAAAGCCGCGGCCCGAGGCCCACTTTCAACCAATTTTCGCCAGCCAGCGATAGGGGATACCAACAACCGGGCGTACAAAAGGCATCTCAAAAGGCCTTTCCCGCGAAAGCACGTTTTGAATACCCGCGCGCTCTCTCGACGTTTCTGATCTCTTAGTTCGTTGTAATTATTATCGGCACGCTCGATAACAATTACACGTAATCGCGACGTTCCAGCCGCGTCCAGTGAGTCGAAAAACATGAGCGACGTAATAACCGTAATGCCGAAAAGCGGGCATGTTTATTCTCGTATTTGGCGTAATTTTGTACACAGCGCTATTCATAATTGTTAAAATTGCGGGCCATCACGGCACGATAGTCGGTATAAGTACCCAACGAGTTATCGCGTGAGTTATTAAGTTATTAAAATCCAATTCCATTCACACGTCGCGCGACACGTTCGCGGGAAGGCAACGGAAGAAACCGGCGCCAGAGGGAAATTAATTAATCACGCCTGACTCACTCGTTATACGACGACTCGCCTAACGATCGATTTGTCACCCTTTCGCAGCGACGACTCTTATCGTTCGCGCACGACCTTCTCTCCTTTGTTAATACGCGTAAAATGATCGATCAATAGCATCACGGATGGTCGCGATAGCATTCCGCGGCAGTAGCTGGACCGGACGGCTATAGATACGCACACTTGTACACGCGCGCGACATACACGCACGCGTACACGCAGAGCATACACACGTGTGCAAGCATGGCACACGATTCAACACCGTGTAACCGGTGGGATTGCAATCACGAGCCGGAGTTGTGCCAGACTTGTGCCCAGCACGTTCCTCGCTCGGCGAAGCGGGAGTACCAGAAGCGAGGGAACGGACGAAAAGGGAGAGGAGAGGCTACGGGATCTCGATAAGAAGAGCCAGCACGAGCGTGGAAGCTTACGTGTCGTATAGTAGTAGGTGCCACAAGCTCGCAAGTGAGACAAAGAGAGCTAGCTCTCTATTTCGCCCGAAGACAAGGAAAGTACGTCGAGATCTAGTCCTTCCGTATAAGCGCTCGAGGAAATACGCGCCAATAAGCGAGGAACAGAGACGGATGGCTGGATGGACGGATATATAGATAGATGAACAGGGAAAGAGATGGAATGGGAAGGGAGAGAGGGGAGAGAGGGAGAGAGAGAGAGAGAGAAGGGGAGAGGGAGAGAGAGAGAGAGAGAGAGAGAGAGAGAGAGAGAGAGAGAGAGAGAGAGAGAGAGAGAGAGAGAGAGAGAGAGAGAGAGAGAGAGAGAGAGAGAGAGAGAGAGAGAGAGAGAGAGGAAGAGAGAGAAAGAGGGACGACGATTACAAGCCACGCATACCGTGGCACGACCACTCGTCGACAATCAGCCGAGGTAGAGAACATCGACTCCGCGGCTAGGTGCAACAAGGACGAAGGAACGGTGACGATGGCTTGGTGTGGGCGCGTGTCTGGCAGCTGCCGCTTACAGGTGGTGTGCTTGCTTGGGAACCAACCTCTACGGACCGTTCCCACGGAAGGCCTGTCTCCCACCATGCGGCCCGTTGTGCCCCTTCGTCTCGCCCTGCCGGGGACCCACGGCCTATATAAGTCACAGCCTCGCCCGACCGCCACCACAATCACGCTGTTTCTTCACGAAGGTCGAGCTGAAGGCGCGTATCTCTAGAACGCACGTTTCCTTCCGCCAATCATACGTGAATTGCCACAGCGACGATTAAAGTTCGACGAACCGGTGTGTGAAGAGAGAGAGAGAAAGAGAGAGAGAGAGAGAGAGAGAAAGAGAGTAAGAGAGAGAGAGAAAGAGAGAGAGAGAGAGAGAGAGAAAGAGAGATAAGAAGAGCACGAAAGCGCGTTCGCGATTGCAAGCTTATTGCACCGTTGTCAGTGAAGTTTTGTGCCGCAAGAATCCCTCGAAAAGAATCAAGGATTAACCATGCAGATGCACGAACAGATCATCGTGGTCGAGGGCCAAGAGCAACCAATCTCCAGGACATATCAATATCGAAAGGTGGGTATCCCCGACATTGTGTTTTCGCGATTCTAATCGTCGCGCAGACTTAAAGTCATCTTGCCACTTTGTCCGTCACAGTCCGATTAACACGAGTTTCGAATTCAGTCATTACCTCTCGCAAAACATCTTTGACAAACTGACCGACTGTCGGAGCTCAGGAGCAACGTTGATTACATTCGTGCTTTCCGATTGATAGGTGATGAAGCCGATGCTAGAACGCAAACGCCGAGCGCGCATCAACCGCTGCCTAGACGAGCTGAAGGAACTGATGGTGACCGCGCTGGCCGGGGACGGCGAGAACGTCGCCAAATTGGAGAAGGCCGACATCCTGGAGCTGACAGTGCGTCACTTGCACAAGCTTCAACGTCAACAGCGTCTTTCGGCAAACCCGGTGATCGACGCCGACCGTTTCCGGGCCGGCTACACGCACTGCGCGAACGAGGTCAGCCGTTGCTTAGCCGCCACCCCTGGAGTCGACGTCGCCCTCGGCACCAAGCTGATGACACACCTCGGCCATAAGCTCAACTCCATGGACAAGACTGGACCGTTGACCATTCACGTGGCCGCACCGCAATCCTCGCCGTCCTCCGCCAGCGAGCTCAGCTCCGACGAGTACGCGATGCCGTTGACACCGGCATCGAGCCAACCGTCTCCGGTACGAACCGACATCGAAGCAGCCGTCTCCCAGAGCCACCAGGGTCTCTTGCAGGTAGCCAAGCCTAACGAGCCTATCTGGCGACCCTGGTAAGACCTGTCGCAGCAGCGATGAAACCAGCCAACAACAATAACCCTCAGAACCGGTGTAAGGGGAACTTCTGAAGAAGAACCACGAAATGGTGTTGCAATCTCGACACCGGTGTTGCAATCTCGTCTGTGATCTGAACGGATGACCACTCGCGAATGAACACAACCAGAAACATTCCGAGCAGAGAGAGAGGGGGGAGGGAGAGAGAGAGAGAGAGAGAGAGAGAGAGAGAGAGAGAGAGAGAGAGAGAGAGAGAGAGAGAGAGAGAGAGAGAGAGAGAGAGAGAGAGAGAGAGAGAGAGAGAGAGAGAGAGAGAGAGAGAGAGAGAAGAAAGACCCGCCACATCAGAATGAAGAAATGGAGAAAGAAGAAGAGGAGGAGGAGAAAAGGGACATAGGCTTAAGGAGTTTCATTTGCTCAAAGACATTTGGAGTAATGATGCACCGACGCGGACGTCAAGCTCTTTCGTCTGAACCTTTCGACTTCGCACTCTCAACATCATCGTCAACGTTCCGCGACAATCGGAAGCACTAGGATCTCGATACGATACGTAATATTTCCTTCTCGCGGCCCCGCGCGGGGCTGAAGCTTTAATTTACTCGACAGTTAGATATATTTTCTATTGTTTATTTCATACTTTTATCGAGGATTTTTTTTAATTATTTTGTCCACACGGCGCGAGTACCGCGATCGCGGCAACGCGAAATCGTGCTTGTTCGTCGTTCGCTGATTACGTTGTTGTATATTAATCTCTCCACCGGTCGAAAAGAAAAAAAGGAAAGAAAAGAAATTGCAACGAAGGTAACGGTAGCCCTTTGAGACGATAATTTCGGCGATTTTGGAAGCGCGCCCTCGTTCCACGATCGAATTGCGTAAACACCGTTGACCGTGCGGAGATTATTGTGATAGAGAAACGTGTACCTGTGATATTTACTGTAGTAGAGAACGCTAGATTTTTAATAAATATGTTTCATATCAGTAAGATATGACGTAAATATTATCTCATAGAACCCATCCGAACAAATTCCGATAGGTGGATGTAGATGATAAATTAAGATATTGCCTCGCAACACTAAGCGACACGAGCGGCGTGTTCATGTGAAATTCCATACGCATCTCAGATAAGAACTTTCACGACCAAATCGATATTCTGGCCCACACGAATATCCCGATAAGAAGCCCACGTCTCGGCTCGACTTTTTTCTCGCGAAAGTCTATCATTTTAAGGCCATCTTGCAAGTGTCCGCGCATAAGGAAGCCTTCGAATTAACCTACTTATTAAGTGATTAATATTGCCGATATTCAAGAAAACACTCACTCTACAGATGTACCTTCCTGGTATCTCCGTAGCTCATTCCTTCCCTGCTTCCTGCCACCGCTTCCACCTGCCAACACATCATGCGTATATTAATTTTCCCTATAGAAAATGTTAATTATGAGAAGCAGAGTAATCCGAATCGAGAGTATTCTGTAATAATGACTCGATGCATGTGAACGTGACGACGACTACTTATGCTTTCACATTCTGGTATAAATTTGTCACCTGCAACTTGTTCGAACGTGTTTACGATGCCTTCGTAATGATATGCTCCATCTTTTTCTCTTTCTTTCTCTTCCCTACTTTCCCCCCTCTCTTTCTCTCTTTCCCTCTTCCTGTTTCTTCTTTGGATGGTCGACATATTAAAATTATGGAAAATGTGACGAATGCGAAAGTTTCGACAATACGCTAGAAGACACACTTAACGAATTGTTTACAATTTCGCGCGCTTACCTCGTTTCGTTGCGATACGTTGCAGCGACAATAAATGCCACGGTAATGTTTACTCGACAGGAAGGGGTTAGACAGGAATACGACCCATTATTTCGCGACACGTCCAATTAACCGCGTTTCTCGCGACGTTTGTGCATACATCGGCCGAAATCGAATGAAAATGATGTTTAGGCGACGCGAAAGGCTGTCGCAAATGTCGACGGTAATCGAACTGCTTATTTTAGTTTTACCGTTTACGCTTTTGTACATCGGCAGCCATCAATCTAACGACTGACCAACCCGCGTTACTGCGCGCGCACTTGTCGGAATTTAGCCGCGAGTCCTGAAAACGCGTCACGTTCGACAAAACGAGACACAAATTACCACAGAGACGATTATAGATCACCTGATGGTATTAACGATTATTTTCAGCATATTACCCTCATTTTCTTTCTGAACGCACGTTATATCGTCTCTCTTACGATATTACCGGATATATTCGGCGCGCGAAGCGTTGCTCCGTTTCTCGTATCATTAATGTTTGATTCGGATTCTCTTTCTCTCTCTCTCTCTCTCTCTCTCTCTCTCTCTCTCTCTCTAAAAAAATCAAACAAGACAAATTTCCTAATGCTATTGTCCGATAAATATAATTAGAAGTAAAATTTAAAAAGTACCACTCTTTTCGGTTTGGAGGTTGGAATTAGACTCTTTCGTTCAGATTTGTGAGTGTAAGACCACGTTCCTTCCTTCCTCCCTTTTATATTGGCTACCGGCGCCTATTAAGGCGAATTCCCAAACGCCATTTCACGATAAATTAAGATAAAAGATAAGAAAAGTGAGAATTAAGTGTGATAAGAAAAACAGGGATTACGCGTACGCAGTCTCAATAGGCAAAAATTAAGCGTGGCTTCGCAGCGACGAAAACCATATCCAACAGCCTCGGAGCTAAGAAAAGACTGTGAGACCACGTTGATTAATTACAGCGCACTCGACATTAATCGATCGATTCGTCGTGATGAATCGATCTGTAGAACCATGTTCGACATCGGATCCGACTTCGATTTCGAGTTTGACTAGATTCGAACTCCTGATCATCGAGAGAGATGAGTAATCGGGATAAAATTTAGGTTAGTGTTCGGCGAAATTAAAACAAGATAATCCCCTCTCAGGAAAGGTCGTGCGACGCGCGACTACTGTTCGCGAATGTTAACCTTACCGATTATTGTCCGAAATGAGCGTTAAGGTTAACCGACAATTAGAGAGACGGTTATGAATGTTCAGCTGTACAACGAATTGGACGAGCACTGCCCTTGTTTCTGCTCATTTCTACTAGATGACCTCGAACAAGTTTGTACAGAATAAACACCGTTTCTAAACAAAATCACTCTCTCTTTCTTTCTCTCTCTCTCTCTCTCTCTCTCTCTCTCTCTCTCTCTCTCTCTTATTAACACACTATAGTCTTATAAATAAGACTATGTAGGTAATTATAATATAAGAGATGAAGTATTAGTAAGATAGAGAGAAGGATTCTATCCAGAGACGGTCTTTGGTTTACAGGTTTGTCGATTTCGCCCGGCTAGTACTCATTCCAGTTTGTTGTATAGTTCAATTCAATGGTTATGGGAGAGCGTCAGCGACGCACGTGCTAGCGTCTTGTAAACAGCACCGCACCCGGACGTGACTATCCGCGAAACCGGCGTCTGGACGGCCGCGAGGTATCGCGCCGAAGACGCTGTTACGTCGCACACTCGGCCATCGCGTCGGAAAACGGGTAAAAATCATTACACGCTCGATTATACTCACTTTTCCAACGACAAACCGCCACCCAGCTGTAACACGTGCTGTCACCGCGATCACTGCGAGACTGTGGCGACACGTTGAGAGTACGTGAACTCTTACGACTAATCGTGATTATCCACGTTCAACCAATCAGATTTCTATCTTAACTGCGTTTGGTCTTGCGATTCGTAGACGACATTTGTTCCTTCACAGCGAAGATCCTTTGATACTTTTAACCTTTTAGCTTTGTTTTGTCATGTCTGTGTTCATTATGAAGATTTTTAGAGCAAATTGAGCCCTCGACTAGATTCGAATTTAACGGCCGAGTTCACGGCACATGTTCGTTGACTCGAGAGAACTAAATTTGATATTTTCTCGATAATCTATTATATAATTCAAATTAAAACACTATTCGATTATTCATTGAGCTTACATAATTCAATCGGTTTTATTTAGAATAATATTAATAATATTTGGCATCTATCAAAAATATTAGTCCATTGATAACTTCTATTATATGATCTTTCATTGATCGTTGTTCATATTCAACCAATCACATTTCTACTTTGTATCTACAATTTGTATATGAGTGTGTGTGTGTGTGTGTGTGTGTGCGCGCGCGCACGCGCCATTACTTTATTACTTACTGTAATATTTCTTAAGCGTTTCATTGTTAAGTCACTGTATTTAGTAAGGAAGAATACAATTGTAAAAAGATAAAACATAAAAGATAAATATAAAAGTTTAATTAAATAAATATACTTTGCGCTTAGCGTCATTAACAGTGATGAGTAAAAAGTTCATCACTAAAAGATTTGAACCCTGAATAAAGAGTTTCGGTTAAATATCTCTTCGCAACATTTCAGACCTGTTATATCCATTAGACCCGTTACTTATATTGGTTCTGAATCTCCGCTACGAGTCACCATCGACCTTAAGGAAAAATCGAGGTTATATTAATACCCGTTGCTATCAACTGACTTTAATTTAACCGTCCGATTATTCCATCGGAATTGACCAATCGCACTTGTCAATTCTGACTAACGACTAAATGCAATTAGTCAATTCCGTTGAAATAACCAGCCGGTTAAGTTAACAAAGGTTGGTAGAAACGGACATAAGTCTTTGGACCGTGCTCAGTAGAAAAAGCTTATTATACGCTTAGTGATTATCGTTTCTAATTGTTTATTCTCTTAAATCCGACAAAGATCTAAGAATATACTCCAATCATAGATAATAATCACTAAAGGCTAGTAATAGCTTTTTCTGCTGAACACTCAATAACTAACCAAACATATGTTTGATTTAAAATTTTACAATTCAACATTGAATGGAAAAGTTTTCTTGTGCAAGTAGTGCAGTTTAATGATAAGTTAAACGTTAATTTATCTCCAAGTTTTACAACTCAATGGTAAGTCATAAGATCTCATGTCCAAGTATTGTTCATTAATTCAATGTTTGGTTAGATATTTTCAAATTCTGTCAATCTATCAATCACAAGACAGAAGGATTTTCTATTTCCAAATAGCATTACTTTAATTTATAAATTTAATTTCGTTCTATGGATTATTTAAGATGCAAATATAGTGCAATATAAAAAAAACATACGATATAACAAATATAAAATATTATTCTTTGTAAATCAAATAAAACATTTATAATTAATAATATACAAGTAATTCAATACAAAGATATTCTCTTCATGACTCTTTACAAGACTAATTTAACGGTAGCAATATTCTTTTAATCACTTATTTCTATTGAAGGTGGCACCCAACCACCAAAGGCTATCTCCAACTCCTTTGCAGCTGCCAAACAGAGACGGTCTTGATATGGTGCAGCTATTATCTAAAATATTCAACAAATCATTCAGTGAATCCTTTATTTTTCATTATTTTTCAGATAACTTCCAATATATATTATTTACAAACAGATGTTTGAAAATTGTTTTTATTTTTCTGATATTCTTTAATTATTTTGATTGAAAATATACTTTCAGTACTGTAAGCTATATTTTCTTTTAACTTTAAGCTCATGAAACTATTTAAATTTTACGGTGTCAAATGAAGGATTGTAATTGATAAAGATAATGAATATTCATTATTTTTATCAATTAATTTGGAATGAAGATAAAAACCTGTCTCAAAAAAAAGATTAAAATATTTTAAATTTCTTAAATTTCACACTTATATGATTAATTGAGACCTGAACTCCCATGGGCATTCTATCCTTATTAAGTCCCATTGGTACTTGTACTGCAGGAAAGCCAAGAACATTAAACAAAGCACAGTATGGTATATTTCCTACTTCACCAAGAACTAGTTCTGGGAAAGGTGCAGTGATTCGGAAAGTTGGATGAATTAACAATCCATTCTTTCCCAATAGTTGCTGCAATGTCTCTTGAAATTCTTTAAACTTCTGTAAATAATGTAATTTCCTTCTTTTCGGAAAGTTATAATATTGTTGCAGCAACGTAAAAAACAACAGAGACATTGTATGATGTGATAGCCCAAATACAGCTTTTATCATTTCTAGCATTGGACTTTTCTCAAGCTGAAAAGAATACAGAGTTTAATTACCGTTTGCATCCTCACATAAGATGAATAATATATCTTCTAAAATTCAATTAATACATTAGTACCTTAGAATTATTGATATCTATAAGTACATCAACCTTCCCTACATTCAAGAATTGCATTATTGTCATTTCAAGTAATGAGGCTGGCCATTCCATGGGTATCTGTAAAACCAATTAATGTTAAACTCCTCATCAAATACAGATATATAATGAGTGTATGCTATAAATGTGTACCTTCTGTGTGTGAATACCACATTTGGAGAAGTAATCAGCAGCTTTCAAAATGCATTGCTCGAGATCCGGCGACATCGACAATATACCAAACGATTTACCCATATTTTGCTGGTAATACACTTTTGTTTGCTTCCAGTCAACCGGCTCATCCAAGCATAAATCAATATTCGACTTTGTCGATATCATTTCCATAAAAAGTCTGAGGTCGTCCGCGTATCGAGTCATTGGACCATATGACAGACAATTATGAAAATTTTCATTTTCGTTCGTTGGATAATGATCTCTTGCTGGAATAACTTCTGCAATTTGAGAATGAAAATACGACAAATTAGTACGAAAATTAATACCAATTAGTTAATTCTTTCGGATATCTTATTGTAATTTTAACGATAAAATTTCGAATTTTTCATTCGTTAGTAATATGCGTTCAACGGAAAGTTTGGTGAGGGAAATCTTGAACAAATAAGATGTTCAATTTGAGCCAGAGAAGTTCAATATACTCGACGTGGGTTTTAATCCGAAGATCCCGCAGAACAGTCCCGGTATTCTGATGGAACCAGCGAAGTCTGAGCCAATTCCGATCAACGAAGCACCTGCTCCAAGTAAGGCGGCCTGAAATAAGTATTTCCTGATAAACAACAAGTAAGAGTAATGTTATATTAACATTATAGTTTTCTACTTAATAACAATATACTTCATACACATACAGAATATATTGCAGGGTTATATTTTGCATTTATATTATTGAGTAAGAAATTATAATATTGATGTAATTTTATTATTACTTAGTGTTCACTGACTTACACGTATATTTATATAATTGTAAATATATAATATACACACATATAATTTATATAATATTTGAAAGAGAAATAGCTACTTTTTACTTATGAAACGCTCTAGGATATAATCATCTTCAAACGCGACAGAGACCAACTATTTTGAAAGAACATAAAGCCTGATGTACCATTCTTCCTGCTTTCTGCTTTTTCCTATTACTATTGCTTTTTCCTATTCTTTATTTTTGTCTGCAGATAAATATGTTTATGCATGTTGATAAACACGCATAAACATACTGATGTAATCAGAATCTTGGTAACTTAGCGAATTTTACTTATCGCATTATGTAAGCCACAGATGAAGATAATTTACATTTTAACATCGCATATAAAGCAATATACAGATGCATATAATAATAAAATATTGTATAATATTGTGCGTGATGATTTGTCACGTCGAAAATTATCGGTAAATTTCTATCGAAAAAATAGGTGCTGATCAGGTGATGCTATTCACAAGCTACATGGCTCCATAAGCTTTGTTAAAGAATATACTCAATTAAAAAAAATCAAGGAAAAACGTCTACTTAAAATATGACGTTTATACAAAATATTGACTTACCTCACCGCCGGACGAGCCGCCGGTTGTGTATCTTGTATCATAAGGATTATACGAACGGCCGTACAAAAAATTGTAAGTATCGATGCCACCGCACATTTCTGCACTGTTAGTAACGCATAGTGGAATCGCACCGGCATCTCGTAACATCGTAACGACTTCGCCATCGGCGATTGCTTTTCTTCCTCTGTGAGCTAAAGTGCAGCCCGTATGACTAAGACCTGCAAGTGTTATCGCACGTTAAAGAGAATCTTCGCTCTGTCACTAAATAGGTATCATTAAATTTAATATCATTGAATACTGATATTGAATGATATCTCTGTCATTTCATTTAATTTCGACTCATAAATTAAATTAAAACATTCCTCACAGGTATCAATCGTGTACGATATTTTTATTAACAATACAACAATCGCCCGAAGTTATTATAAAGTGGAAATAATAGAAATATATCTAAGAAGATGAAAAGAAGAATAATTATTTCCTACCTTTAACAGGACAGGCTTCTTTAATGGTAAGCGGCACACCGTACAGTGGCTTTTGTTTCTTCAACGCTACGATATCAACATTGCCGGATTTTAATAATGCGTCACAATTTTTGGCCTCAGCCAAAGCTTCTTCGTATCTGTCGTCGACGACGGCATTGATGTAAGGATTTACTTCCTTGATTCGTTCAATGTATGTACGCACCACATCATAGCTTGTGTACTAGAATTTTTTATTTATTAATTATAAATAGTTCATATTTTTATTATTTATGAATTTTTATTTTTCTGAGTTAGTTTGACAATATTTGATAAAAATACGCAACCTAAATAACACAAAATACTTAAAATAAGAAAAATCCGTCACAAAAGGAAGAAAAGAAAGATCGTCTCCTTCTTCGTCCTTCGATGTATAAAATTACCTTTCTTTCTCTAATTTTCTTAGCGAGCTCAGTAGCGCTTATCGTTAACAAGAAATCTGTTATTGACGGTATGTTTGGTGGTTTTTTGTAGCGAATAAGCGAAAATATCCTAATCAGCATTAAATATATAATATTACTAATGCAGAGCAATATACGCATTACATAGTTCATCTGCAAGATAAAAATTATTTATCATAGACAGGTATCGCTCGTCTCTTGTGATGATCGGTGTTAGAAATTGTGACAGCTGCTTTGCTTGAACGACAGTTCGTTTCTTCGTGAGACGTGAGAATAATTTAAACACGCACTTAAAAGCAGTGAAGTTACTTGAAAGGAGTTATCAATATTTCAAGAAAAAAATGATTAGTTATTGAATATAATTCACATTGATTATATATTTAATTAATTAAATAATTGACTACATGTTTGAAGAGATTCATTTCAGCGAGAGAATAATGTTGTGCTACAATATTAAATGTAAATATTGAAACATTGATCTAAATAGAAAGAAACAATTGGTCTGTTCTTTTTAGTTGCACTACTGAACTGGTGCAATAAGTTAAAGTGAGAAAAAATATAATTGTTTCAATCTAACTTATTGTATTAGTTCCGCAATGCAGCTAAAAGAAACAGACCGAGACAGGAGATTACCTTGAATTTATCGTGTTGATTTCTAATGGATAGCTAGTTTGATCAGATTGTAAGAAATTGAAGTAGAATGCTACTTATATACACTCGTATTTCCACCTCCCAACAGTAGTGATAAATTTACGTCAAATATATCACTTCTACTTGTTCGTTTATTTTTCTTTGTAACTTAATAATAAAAATAGTTATAGTAGAAGCGAAACGCTAAAAATAGTAAATGCAATATTTGAAAAATACATTACTTTTTACGCGTAAAACCTTTGTATAATCGGAAATTTACTCGTACGTACATTCACCTGAACGCATATTACAGAATTTTAAATCACAATTAATTCGATTACAAGAGATGCGAATTAAGATATTAAAAGTAACAGAATGAAAATTAAGATATTAAAAGTAACAGAAAGACAGAAAGTAGTTTATCATGTTTCAAAATAATATACAGGGTGTTTCAAAAAGAATGTCCCGATTTGGAAATTGTATATCTCTGCAACCATGAACTACAAATGAATGCGACTTGTACCATGTAAATGGCCTTGGCCCACAGTTTAATATGACTACCGCTAAATACTATCTTTGGCGCTCAAACAGCCGCTATGCTTAGCTATAAGATGACGTCTACTCAACAGAAGACGTTTTGTGTTCTCGAATTTAGCAAGACTGAGTCCATGATTACGGTTCAGCGTGCGTTTAGACGACGTTACAGAATTGACCAACCGTTTAACTTTGATATTATGGCTGCGTTCCGATACTGACATTGCCGGTACTGAAGATATATAGTTTGTGTCACTTATACTATAGATTTTCAGTGCTTGCAACGAATATCGAAACGCAGCTTATATTACAGCCACTTTTGTCTCGACGATGAAATTCGAAAATATACGCTGAAGAGCGTATCGTGAAATTTATTATGTAGGATGATTCACAGGACTTTTGCAACAAACTTTGAGGGACATACGACAGATCTCGTAGAAAGAATAATTTTTTATCAAGCGACTTATGTTTTCTAGCGCGTCACTTAAGCGTTACGCAATCACAAAGGCGATATTTATTAGGTGCGCAACTAAGCGCTGTTTTTCAAGAGATGGCTCCAGTAGTAAGTGCTGGTCGATTGTGATATAACCAAAACGTCATGAACCAAGCTTAGACATATGGTAAACAAACCACTTTGACACATTAGTGATTTTGTTTTTGCGTCATATACTTTTGGTTGTGTGAAAATGTCTTATTTTGTGCCAAATAATCGTCATTTGCGGGAAGTGTTGCTTTTCTTCTTTCATTCGAAGAAAACGGCGGCTGAAGTGCATCGAGAACTCCAAAAAGTTTACGGAGATGCTGCTCTAAGTGAAACAACGTGCCGTGATTGGTTCCGTCGCTTCAAAGACGGTGATTTCGATGTTGACGACCGTTCGCGTGAAGGAAGGCCAAAAACTTTCGAAGACGCTGAATTGGAGGCATTGCTCGATGAGGATTCGTGTCAAACGCAAAAAGAGCTTGCTTCAGGATAGGAGTTACCCGCCAAGCCATTTTCAAGCGATTGCATGCGTTGGGAATGATTCAAAAACAAGGAACTTGGGTTCCTTATGATTTGAAGCCAAGAGACGTTGAGCGTCGTTTTTTCGCCTGTGAACAACTGCTCCAGCGGCAAAAAAGGAAGGGTTTTCTTCATCGCATCGTTACGGGTGATGAAAAATGGATTCATTACAGCAACCCAAAGAGAACAAAATCATGGGGACTGCCCGGTCATGCTTCTACGTCGTCGGCTCGGCCGAATATTCACGCTGCGAAGGTTTTGCTGTGTATTTGGTGAGACCAGGGCGATGTTATTTATTATGAGCTGTTGAAACCGAACGAAACCATCACTGGGGAACGGTATCGAACTCAATTGATGAGATTGAGCCGAGCACTGCGCGAAAAGCGGCCACAATACGAGCAGAGGCACGAAAAAATGATTCTACAGCATGACAACGCTCGGCCTCACGTTGCCAAACCCGTTAAAACCTACTTAGAAACGCTCAAATGGGAAGTCCTACCCCACCCGCCATATTCCCCAGATATTGCGCCGTCCGATTATTACTTGTTCCGTTCGATGGCACATGGTCTGGCTAATCAGCAGTTCCGCTCATATGAAGACATCTCAAAATGGTTTGATTCGTGGATAGCCTCAAAATACGAACACTTCTACCGTGACGGTATTCGAGCTCTGCCAGAAAGATGGGAAAAAGTTGTCGCTAGCGATGGGCAATATTTTGAATGATTCATTTGTAACCATTTTTTCACAATAAAGTTGCATTTTCATCAAAAAAACAGCGAGAACTTAGTTGCGCACCTAATATTACAATTATGAAATGAATTAATATACAGGGTGTTTCAAAAAGAATGTCCTGATTTGAAACTGATTTATCATTGGACAAAAATATTCGTCGTTGGTATCGACAATTTCAAGAAACAGGGCGTTTATGTAAGGGAAAAAGTCCTGGACGACCACGCACCTCAGAGGAGATATACAATGAATTCAAGAGGCTTTTCAGCGAAGTCCGCGCAAGTCCACTCGTATCTAACGGTAGTCATATCAAACTCTGGGCCAAGACCGTTCACGTGGTACAAGCCGCATTCATTTGTGGTTCGTGGTTGCAGAGATATACAATTTTCAAATCAGGACATTCTTTTTGAAACACCTTGTATATTAATTCATTTCATAATTGTAATAAATATCGCCTAAGGCCTTTGTGATTGCGTAACGCTTAACCACTTGCGCTGGAAAGACGTGCCACGCACGTCGTAATGCTTTTGTCACAGAATCGCCAACGACGTGGTATGTACGTCGTCATGCGATTGTCACAGAAACAAAAACGACGTGCGTGGCACGTCGAGTGGGATTGTTTGCCAGACACAAATGCCAAAAAGAATCCACAGTGAAGGTGTAGAGTGTGTACCAAACACAAAAAACGAAGTGAAACTATATGGGAATGTAAGAAATGCCTTGTACCATTACATGTTCCAGACTGTTTCGAGAGATACCACACTTTGCATGATTATTAATAAATAAATTAAATATTTATATTTGTATAATTTTATAATCAATCGACGCTCTATATTCCCTTCAAAAAGCTATTAAAAGTCCTAGGTCGAAAATAAATTAGTTAGGAAATATAAATCTTTCTCCGATTTCTGTAAGACATCGAACACTGTGTGACTCCTCTCAGCGAGTTACACTGGACCGTTCTGGTACACGCGTCAGTGAATTTTTTGCCAGCGCAAGTGGTTAAGTGGTTAAGTGACGCGCTAGAAAACATAAGTCGCTTGATAAAAAATTATTCTTTCTACGAGATCTGTCGTATGTCCCTCAAAGTTTGTTGCAAAAGTCCTGTGAATCATCCTACATAATAAATCTCACGATACGCTCTTCAGCGTATATTTTCGAATTTCATCGTCGAGACAAAAGTGTAATATAGACTGCGTTCCGATATTCGTTGCCAGCACTGAAAATCTATAATATAAGTGACACAAACTATATATCTCCAGTACCGGCAATGAGTATCGGAACGCAGCCATAATATATCAAAGTTAAACGGTTGGATCATCATAAAGGTTGCGTTCCGAAATTCACTGCCAGTACTGAAAATACATAGTTTATGTCACGTATACTATAGATTTTCAGTGCTGGCAGTGAATATCGGAACGCAGTCAAAATGAATCTATTAAGTAGAATTATCGCGCGCATCTAGTATGTTCGATTTATTTGTTATATACAGGGTGTTTGATAGCTCATCATGCAGACGAAAGTTGGAGATAGATTGGGTGTAGCCGAGAAGAAAAGTCATGTACCATAATGTCAAATTGGCAATAGTTATCGAGTTATTAATTAAAACATGTGAGCCAACAAGCGCGTAGAGAGCGGAGGGCGACCGCAGTAAGCATATAGACATTTGATACAGGCGGAGTCAGCGAGTGGCGATAGGCGAGCGCGCGCGGCGAGGGGCAACGTAAACAACAAGAGGCGAACGCGCGCGACGAGGAGCGAGCGAGCACAAGCGACAAGAGGCGAGCGAGCGCGAACGACGAGGAGCGAGCGAGCTATAAGGAAAAACCTATAAAGAAAAAGCTCGCTCGCTCCTCGTCGCGCGCGATCGCCTTTTGTCGCTTACGTTGCCCCTCGCCGCGCGCGCTTGCCTACCGCCACTCTCTGACTCCGCCTGTATCAAATGTCTACGTGCTTACTGCGGCCGCCCTCCGCTCTCTACGCGCTCGTTGGCTCACATGTTTTAATTAATAACTCGATAACTATTGCCAATTTGACATTATGGTACATGACTTTTCTTCTCGACTACACCCAATCTATCTCCAACTTTCGTCTGCATGATCAGCTATCAAACACCCTGTATAGTTATTATATATAGTGTGCATTATCGTAGCAATCACTGCATATTAACATAGAAAGTCATGTATTAATTTGACATCATCATGTATTAATTTGATATCATATATTAATTTGACATCATATATTAATCTGATCTGAAATATGATAATCTTGCTGAGACGCATTTTTGTACAAACAAAATAAGGTAAAAGAATACAATTTCTTAAGATCTTGAATGGAATTTAACAAAACGTCATACTTGTATAAACATTTATATAAGATATTTCAACATCTTTATCTTTTGCATCCTCGTGCAGAAATGTATATATAGACATCGCTGAGAATCCGCAATGAAGAGAAAAATAACTGAAACACTCGTGATAAAACGAAAAAATAACTCATAAATGTAAATTGTTAGCTATGTATCTTTTAGATACACTTGTTAACACTGTACACTGTTAACACGCAGTTTTCCATTTAATATTCTTTGACGTTTGATTTTTATTGATTTTTTGTTATTTGTTCATTGTCATCTTGATTGATGTTCCTTCATTTCTGAGTTTAATTAGAAACATTACACATGTTTTAACCCTTTCGCTTCGAGCGCCGGATATTTCCGGCATCTATATGATGTGTGTACAAGTGCCATCTGTAGTCGATGGTAAATTCTTCGTTATCGGCAGAACATTTTTGGTTGATTTTATTAACATATTGGATTAATCACATATTAAAACTACTCTTTGTTGTTACGACATCAAAACATATTATATACGTATTATATATTGGGTGAGTGCAAAAGTTCGTGCGGAGTTTGTGAGTAAAAGTCACACAGTGATTAGGCAAACAAAAATCTTTATTCAATCAATGATATATTCTCCATCGTTTTCTATAATCTTTTCCCAACGTTCTGGCAGCATACGGATGCCTCGATCATAAAAACTGCGCGGTTTAGATTCGAAGAACGAAGAGACGCCGTTTTTTACGGCTGCGGCAACGTTTATTCCCTTCCGAAACTCGTAAAGCATAACATGCCGTAAATGCACCTTATCGATACTCATTTTTAAAGTGATATTTTTGGAAGCAGTTTGTATGAAAACAAATGATTTTTTTTTAATAACATTATTAATTATATTAAACATTTAATCGTAAAGTCTTGTAAATATATAAATACCTAAAAATATGTAAACTGTAATTGGTCTAATGTTTTTAGAATAACTAATATAATTTTGTATGTCTTTTCATATTAAAAATGTAAACTATACTTGTTATATTAGAGCAACGATTGTTTTATTAGAGCACAATTGTTATTTAAAACTTAGAAAAACGTATATACAAAAACTACGCACTGTGCACATTTCTGGTGCGTGTTTCCGTTCAATAACGGCATTTCGGCGGACTGGACTGCCGAAGTGAAAGAGTTCATCTCAACGAGAGACATACATAAAATGTTTTTCGAACATATACAAGGACATCGATAGGAGGTGATTCATTGGAATCTTAAATACAGATGACGTCACCAACTGTGCTGACATTCTTATATGTACAAATTTACCTGTCATTAATGATTTCATGAAATATATTACAATTCTATAGTACAATTAAAAAATAATCCATTTCTATTTCACAGTATAAAATAACATGCAAGATAAATAATTATCGATTGTCATGTAGCAAAGTACGTGACGGATATTTTGATCAATGCATGTTAGTAGTACGAATCATTTCATTGATACGTGTATCATGAAATGTTTCAAATCGTTAAGTTTTATGTGTATGTTTGTCGACTTATAAATAATTTCAGCAAACAATATTACATATAACACAATATTACATGTAACGTGCATGTTAGTTGTAATTTCCTACTCAACAATATAACTGTTAAGTCAGCGGCACACGGTGCTTGTTTTCGTGCTGCATTTCCATCCATCTTCGGAAATGTACCAATCAGAACGCAGTATTTTCATCCAGCAAGCAATCCAGCAAACAAGCACCGTGTGCCGCTGGCTTTATATAACAGTTATATTGTTGAGTAGGAAATTACAACTAACATGCACGTTACATGTAATATTGTGTTTGCTAGGATAGAATAAAATGCGTATTATTCCAATATTTAATTTATCTTCAGACAAGCTTATCGAAATTATCAATTAAATTAGAGAATTTCGAGAATTGCCAGAAAAGTTCTTCGAATGCAAGGAATATTCTCTATTTAAAATTCTCAATCGTGTAATGTAAATCTGTTTTTTATAGTCTTGTATACCTGTATCATTATGCAAATCTGTTTTTTATTAAATGAAGTTAAATTACCTGTAATTAGAATGAGGCCGTTTTCTAACAAGGAACACTATGTTAGACAAAACCTTATTGGTTATGTATTATCTTAGAAGATACAGCTTAGTAAATAAAATGACTTTGTGTACCATAAAGTTCGCTTGCTGCTAAACGACAAAAGTAAATCAACAGTACAAGATACGAACGTACGTTTCTCGTTTTAACTCATATGCGACTATAAGTGATTAGAAATTTACAAGCGAGAAATTTTTATCTTAATTCCATACAGGGACTACAGGTTTACTGTGCGACGAAAGTTGATTAGGAAATATCGCAGTAGCCAATCAACGACCTCCTACAATAAGCCATTAGTTTTGAGTCACAAGCAAATTGATCAATCAGTCGATTATTCCGAAAAATTATTGATTGTGATTAGTTAATTTGCTTACATCTTATATGATTAACGGTCTTTGCAGATTGCGTTTCGATATTCACTGCTAGCAGAGAGGAACTTGAGAGCGGCCAACATGGTGTTTTCGACGACACCGAATTTCCGCACTGAGAAAGGGCGCCATCTGCATCCATTTTGAGAGGGGAACTACGATGCTACATCCACTTTCAGGTTTCGGTGATAAAACCTGTATGTGGTGGCAGTCCGTGCTACATTCATTTTTAGGCGGTTTATGTCCGTGCTACAACCATAATAGCGTACTTGACAAGCATGGTCTCGCGCATTGTTATGCGTTTATAACATGAATTAACATGTTAACATGTGCAGAAAAAAAAAGAATTGACATTGTGTATGATTAATATCATGAAGATCATACGAAGTGTCCGGTAATTAGCTGCCAACTCGAAGTGTGAGGGTAGATTGGGTTAAGCCAAACATAAAAGTCCCATACCATTTTGCGAGATTCGCAATAATTATCGAGTTATTAATGACAGAAATCTGAGGAGTAAAAGCGCGCCGACATAGATGATTCGAAAAGCGTTGCAGCTGCTCGGGGCAGCGATCATGAATCTTTTCCTTAGTGTGAACTAATAAAAAGTGAAAGAGTTCTGTGAATCAATGAAAAATGAAAAATTTTATATGAATTTGTGAAAATCGAAACATTTCACACGACAATTGAGTCGTTCAACATGGCAGTTGCGCGTTCTGGATAATTCAATGAATACCAAATAATTCAATGAATACCAAAGAAATCAAAATGATCAAAATAATAATGTCCGTGTAGTCCGAAGGATATTACGTGACACGCAAAATCCGTTTGATATAATATCCAAAGAAAATGTTTCAAAATATGTATGTACAGGTAATAATTTGTTATAATAACAAGTAAAATAACCATATAACTCAGTGTTCTAATAAATAATGATAAATTTTACTTGTAAAAATTTATGTTATGGACACTTTTTGTAGGTAGGTTTTCTTGAATATTTTGAATAACATAACCTTTAAAAAGATATATTTTTTTTTAATATTGGACACTATTAACAAACGTGTTAAATTTTTATAACACGATATAATTTTTACTTTTAAAAGTTTATGTACATATGTTATAAAAACTTATGTTATGTACATAATATATATTTTAAAAAAGAAAATAATTTGAATTTGAGATTTCTAAAAATATTAAGTTAAGTATACAATAATCATATATATATGTTAGGTTTCTCAGTTGGCGCTACTGTTCTAATATATCACTTCTTTTGTACCGTAGAAAAATGTTGCAGAGTTTTATTATAGTTATAAGTTTCACTTGTAAAAACTTATGTACACATATATACAATAAAAAAAATAATTTGAGTTTGATACTTCTAAAAATAACACAGTACGTGTTGCGCTTGTACTTGGCGCCTCTTTTTTACCTTTTTGTTTAAAAAGGTAAGTTTTATATAATATTAAATATACGTACGTTTCACGTTTAACATGATTGACTTGGAGTACTCCGTGCCCACGGTGTTATTCATAGCGACGCATTCATACTTTCCCTGATCTGTTACATCGGATTCGATAATCTGCAAGGCGCCTGAAACATAAAATGTGATATTCTCGAACAGCGTTCCTCTCAGGATTTTCTTGTTCAAAGAAAGATCAATGATGCGATCGCAGATCTCGTGTATGTCATGTCAATAGAGACAGTTTGAATTCGGCGTAATATGATTCTTGGAACAGACGTAAATAAGTATTGTGAAGTTTGAAGCGAGTCTCTCACAGGCATGCTTTGAAAACACGAGTTGTTTTCATTTTCAGCTTACGGACGACGCAGGCATCAACACTGATCGGCAAGGTCAACGACTGGTGGGGGGTAACCGTGCCTTCCCGATTGTTTGGTTTCGTACCCTTATATATGACTCCGTGATTGCGGAAAGGACATTGCGCCTCGGGCCAACGAACGACGTGCATACCGCGACGCAGAATACGAGTGTCGGTAGTCGTATCGGTTAATACGCGTTTCTCTTTTGACCGAATCTTACTTGCGCGAGTGTTAGAGCTAGAGTCAGTGTCGTCGCCAGTGCTACGATGGAGTATCCGGGGGTGCTGCGACGGAGTAACCAGAAGGAGGACGTCGGATCGAGAAGTCAGGATGGAGAGAGGACTTGGAGCGCGCCGAGAGACGTGGACAGCGATACATCATATATGGTATTCGAGGTACCTTGAGTAATTATTACGCAAGATTTTTCTGATTTTGACGGACCTTACTCGAAGTAAGGACATACCCGAGTCGAAATTAGATCAGCATTCATAGTTTATCATCTGAAAAATGATAAAATAGCTTGAGATTTGATTATTCGTTAACCTAATTTCACGTAACATGAGTTCTACTTTTCTTTTCTCATAAAACATGAATGTCTATTCAAGCAAGGTTGCTGAGGCAAGCTAAGATTTATGAATACAAATTTGTAATTATGTTCTCAATGAAAAATTGCACATAATTTAGAAAACTATGAATAATGATCTTAGAATCTGATATAAATTTTACAAGTATTGATTTTTATTCGTCTAATAATGCTCAGATTACTGTTTTCGTTTAGAATCTGCTAGAATGTCCATTTCTCATTCTTGTTTATTTTTCTTATTTAACCGAATCAAAATTAAAATCTTTATTAGTGAAACAACATTATTAGACATAACCGTTGTCTTTGTCTTTGCAGCTTCAGCTCTTTTGAGAGCTACAATTCTCATCATTCTTATTAGAAAAAAGAAAAGAAAAAAAAGAGAAGAAAAAAGGAAAAAAGAACTTTAAGAATGATGAGAATAAAAAGTGTTTTTAATCTCCCATTTCCTCTAATTCTTATATGACTATTTAATCCTTATATATTTATCTCACGCGTAGTTCTAACAAGGCAGTTCTATTTACGTTTTTATCTTTGTTCTCTTGCGCTGTTAAGCGAATATATAATCAACATCAACAAAAATTGCTCATTTAAATTAAGAATATAAGGATTAAGTACATATACATTATCGAGATAAACGAGTATTAAATAACTGCGGAATACGTTGCTGACGTTGAAGACTCATCATGGGCTCATCATGGGCATGAGACTGCGAGACTAGCCAGATGTAACGTTCAGGTAGGACAAAGCTTTGTTCACTATTGCGCCTCTAAATATTCTGTATTGATTTTTCAAATTGGATGCAATTTGCAGGATCAATGTAGAATTAATATTTCGACTCGGGAAAGACTCGGGAATGAGAACGAATTGTCATTGCACTTTGGACAATCTTCTGACACTGATTTCTGGTATTGATCGATATTCGATTTAATCGAATATCGATCAATACCAGCGTTAATTTGATGAATAAATTAAATATTGATCGGTCTTCAATTTTCGGTACTGATTTATTCTCTCATTTCTTTATAAGACAAGAAAAATTGATACGAATCATTTGTTTATTCGAATTAATTTGTTGAGTAAATTAGAAGGATAAATACCTGAAAAAGGAGAACAAATTGTCATTGTACTTGGACAATTTTCTGACACTGATTTACGGCATTGATCGACATTCGATTTTCGGTACTGATTTACTCTTTCATTTCTCTATAAGAAAAAAAAATTCATACGCATCGTTCATTTATCCGCGTTGATTTGATGAATAAATTAAATATTGATCGGTCTTCAATTTTCGGTACTGACTGATTCTCTAATTTCTTTATAAGAGAATAAAAATTGATACGAATCGTTCTTTTATCCGACTTAATTTGTTGAGTAAATTAGTGGGGTAAGTACCTGCAAGATGAAAACAACTTGTCATTGCACTTGGACAATTTTCTTGACATTGATTTATGGTATTGATCAGTCTTCGGTTTTTGGTACTAATTTATTTTCTCATTTTTTTATGAGACAAAAAAAGTTGATACGAATCATTCGTTTATCTGAGTAAATTTGCTGAATAAGATTAGAGGAGTAAGTACCTGCAAGATGAAAACAACTTGTCATTGCACTTGGACAATTTTCTTGACATTGATTTATGGTATTGATCAGTCTTCGATTTTCGGTACTGATTTATTATCTCATTGTTTTATAAGACAAGAAAAATTGATATGAATCGTTCATTTATCCGAATTAATTTGTTGAATAAGATTAGAAGGGTAAGTACCTGAAAAATGAGAACAAATTGTCATTGCACTTGGACAATATTTTGACACTGATTTACAGTATTAATCGATATTTGATTTTCGGTACTGATTTACTCTTTCATTTGTCTATAAGAAAAAAAAATTCATACGAAACGTTCACTTACCCGCGTTATTTTGATGAATAAATTAAATATTGATCGGTTTTCAATTTTCGGTATTGATTTATTCTCTCATTTCTTTATAAGAAAAGAAAAATTTATACGGATCGTTCGTTTAACCGAGTTAATTTGTTGAGTCAATTAGAGTGGTAAGTACCTGAAAAATGAGAACAAATTGTCATTGCACTTGGACAATTTTCTGACACTGATTTATGGTATTAATCGATATTCGGTTTTCGGTACTGATTTATTTTCTCATTTTTTTAAAAGACAAAAAAAATTGATACGATTCATTCGTTTATCCAAGTTAATTTGTTGAATAAGATTAGAGGGGTAAGTACCTGAAAAATGAAAACAAATTGTCATTGCACTTGGACAATTTTCTGAGACTAATTTACGGTACTTATCGATATTCGATTTTCGGTACTGATTTACTCTTTCATTTCTCTATAAGAAAAAAAAATTCATACGGATCGTTCATTTATCCGCGTTAATTTGATGAATAAGTTAAACATTCATCAGTCCTCACTTTTCGGTACTGACTGATTCTCTAATTTCTTTATAAGAGAATAAAAATTGATACGAATCGTTCTTTTATCCGACTTAATTTGTTGAGTTAATTAGTGGGGTAAGTACCTGCAAGATAAAAGTAACTTGTCATTGCACTTGGACAATTTTCTTGGCATTGATTTATGATAATGATCAGTCTTCGGTTTTCGGTACTAATTTATTTCCTCATTTTTTTATGAGACAAAAAAAATGGATACGAATCTTTCGTTTATCCAAGTTAATTTGTTGAATAAGACTAAAGGGGTAAGTACCTAAAAAATAAGAACAAATTGTCATTGCACGTGGGCAATTTTTTGACACTGATTTATGGTATTAATCGACATTCGACTTTCGGTACTGATTTACTCTTCCATTTCTCTATAAGAGAAAAATTGATACGAATCGTTCGTTTATCTGAGTTAATTTGTTGAACAAGTTTAGAGGGGTATGTACCTGAAAAATAAGAACAAATTGTCATTGCACGTGGGCAATTTTCTAACACTGATTTATGGTATTAATCGATATTCGGTTTTCGGTACTGATTTATTTTCTCATTTTTTAAAAGACAAGAAAATTCATACGAATCGTTCATTTCTTCGCGTTAATTTGATGAAAAAATTAGGTATTGATCAGTCTTCGGTTTTCGGTACTGATTTATTCTGTCATTTCTTTATAAGAAAAGAAATATTGATACGGATCATTCGTTTAACTGAGTTAATTTGTTGAGTAAATTAGAGGGGTAAATACCTGAAAAATGAGAACAAATTGTCATTGCACTTGGACAATTTTCTGACACTGATTTATGGTATTAATCGATATTCGGTCGACTTTTCGGTACTGATTTATTTTCTCATTTTTTAAAAGACAAGAAAATTGATACGAATCGTTCGTTTATCCAAGTTAATTTGTTGAATAAGATTAGAGGGGTAAGTACCTGAGAAATGAGAACAAATTGTCATTGCACTTGGACAATTTTCTAACACTGATTTATGGTATTAATTGATATTCGGTTTTCGGTACTGATTTATTTTCTCATTTTTTAAAAGACAAGAAAATTCATACGAATCGTTTCTTCGCGTTAATTTGATGAATAAATTAAATATTGATCGGTCTTCAATTTTCGGTACTGACTGATTCTCTAATTTCTTTATAAGAGAATAAAAATTGATACGGATCTTTCTTTTATCCGACTTAATTTGTTGAGTAAATTAGTGGGGTAAGTACCTGTAAGATGAAAACAACTTGTCATTGCACTTGGACAATTTTCTAACGCTGATTTATAGTATTGATCAATATCCGGTTTTCGATACTGATTTAGTCTTTGATTTCTCTATAAAAGAAAAAAAGTTTGATACAAATTGTTCATTTATCCGCGTTAATTTGATGAAAAAATTAGATATTGAACGGTCTTCGATTTTCGGTATTGATTTATTTTTTCACTGTTTTATAAGACAAAAAAATTGATACGAATCGTTCGTTTATCCGAGTTAATTTGTTGAATAAGATTAGAGGAGTATGTACCTGAAAAATAAGAACAAATTGTCATTGCACGTGTGCAATTTTTTGTCACTCATTTATGGTATTAAACGATATTCGGTTTTCGGTACTGATTTACTCTTTCATTTCTCTATAAGAAAACAGAAAATTAATACGAATCGTTCATTAATCTGCGTTAATTTGATGAATAAATTAAATATTGATCGGTCTTCAATTTTCGGTACTGATTTATTCTCTCATTTCTTTATAAGAGAATAAAATTTGATACAAATCGTTCTTTTATCCGACTTAATTTGTTGAGTATATTAGTGGGGTAAGTACCTGCAAGATGAAAACTACTTGTCATTGCACTTAGACAATTTTCTAACACTGATCTATAGTATTGATCAATATCCGGTTTCCGATACTGATTTAGTCTTTGATTTCTTTATAAAAGAAAAAAAGTTTGATACAAATTGTTCATTTATCCACGTTAATTTGATGAAAAAATTAGATATTGAACGGTCTTCGATTTTCGGTACTGATTTATTTCTTCATTGTTTTATAAGGCAAAAAAATTGATACGAATCGTTCATTTATCCGAATTAATTTGTTGAATAAAATTGGAGGGGTAAGTACCTGAAAAATAAGAACAAATTGTCATTGCACGCGTGCAATTTTTTGACACTGATTTATGGTATTAATCGATATTCGATTTTCGGTACTGATTTAATCTTTCATTTCTCTATAAGAAAACAGAAAATTAATACGAATCGTTCATTAATCTGCGTTAATTTGATGAATAAATTAAATATTGATCGGTCTTCAATTTTCGGTACTGATTTATTCTCTCATTTCTTTATAAGAGAATAAAATTTGATACAAATCGTTCTTTTATCCGACTTAATTTGTTGAGTAAATTAGTGGGGTAAGTACCTGCAAGATGAAAAAAACTTGTCATTGCACTTAGACAATTTTCTAACACTGATCTATAGTATTGATCAATATCCGGTTTCCGATACTGATTTAGTCTTTGATTTCTTTATAAAAGAAAAAAAGTTTGATACAAATTGTTCATTTATCCGCGTTAATTTGATGAAAAAATTAGATATTGAACGGTCTTCGATTTTCGTATTTTTTTTTCATTTTTTATAAGAAAAATTGATACGAATCGTTCGTTTATCGAATTAATTTGTTGAATAAATTAGAGGTAATACTGAAAAATAAAAAATTGTATTGCACCGTGCATTTTTTGACACTGATTTATGGTATTAATCGATATTCGATTTTCGGTACTGATTTAATCTTTCATTTCTCTATAAGAAAACAGAAAATTAATACATATCGTTCATTAATCCGCGTTAATTTGATGAAAAAATTAGATATTGATCGGTCTTCAATTTTCGGTACTGACTGATTCTTTAATTTCTTTATAAGAGAATAAAAATTGATACAAATTGTTTTTTTATCCGACTTAGTTTGTTGAGTAAATTAGTGGGGTAAGTACCTGCAAGATGAAAACTACTTGTCATTGCACTTAGACAATTTTCTAACGCTGATTTATAGTATTGATCAATATCCGGTTTTCGATATTGATTTAGTCTTTGATTTCTCTATAAAAGAAAAAAGATTGATACAAACTGTTCATACCCACTTTAATTTGATGAAAGAATTAGATATTGAACGGTCTTCGATTTTCGGTACTGATTTATTTTCTCATTGTTTTATAAGACAAAAAAATTGATACGAATCGTTCGTTTATCTGAGTTAATTTGTTGAATAAGATTAGAGGGGTATGTATCTGAAAAATAAGAACAAATTGTCATTGCACGTGTGCAATTTTTTGTCACTGATTTATGGTATTAATCGATATTCGATTTTCGGTACTGATTTACTCTTTCATTTCTTTATAAGAAAACAGAAAATTAATACGAATCGTTCATTAATCCGCGTTAATTTTTTTTTTATTATATATAAGTGGTCCATGAGACGATTAAATATTCGAATACACGTTACCGTATCAAAGTCTCCTCTATAATAAACGATTTGACACATCTGAAGACGCATGATGTATCGTTGCCCTCATCCCATTCCCTTCGTCCTGCTTCCCTGTATAAAATGTCGAATTGAAACGTATTAAAAAGTATTGACATTTTGAATATGTCTGAATTCTGAATCTTTTTGATCCGAAGAAAAGGATTGAAAAGTATTAGTTCCCATTAAATCTTACTGCGCTAAATGCGAGACGGTCTCTTTCGGCCGGGTGCCTCACCAGGGAAATTTCTCTGATACGCGAAATCCCGTAAGGCCATCAGTCTTTGTAGTATATCTCGTCGTTGCATAAGGTTTATATTACCTGTACATACATATTTGAAACATTTTCTTTGGATATTATATCAAACGGATTTTGCGTGTCACGTAATATCCTTCAGACTACACGGACATTATTATTTTGATCATTTTGATTTCTTTGATATTTATTGAATTATTTGGTATTCATTGAATTATCCAGAACGCGCAACTGCCATGTTGAACGACTCAATTGTCGTGTGAAATGTTTCGATTTTCACAAATTCATATAAAATTTTTCATTTTTCATTGATTCACAGAACTCTTTCATTTTTTATTAGTTCACACTAGGGAAAAGATTCATGATCGCTGCCCCGAGCAGCTGCAACGCTTTTCGAATCATCTATGTCGGCGCGCTTTTACTTCTCAGATTTCTGTCATTAATAACTCGATAATTATTGCGAATCTCGCAAAATGGTATGGGACTTTTATGTTTGGCTTAACCCAATCTACCCTCACACTTCGAGTTGGCAGTTAATTACCGGACACTTCGTATGATCTTTATGATACTAATCATACACAATGTCAATTCTTTTTTTTTCTGCACATGTTAACATGTTAATTCATGTTATAAACGCGTAACAATGCGCGAGACCGTGCTTGTCAAGTACGCTATTATGGTTGTAGCACGGACATAAACCGCCTAAAAATGGGTGTAGCACGGACTGCCACCACATACAGGTTTTACCACCGAAACCTGAAAGTGGATGTAGCATCGTAGTTCCCCTCTCAAAATGGATGCAGATAGCACCCTTTCTCAGTGCGGAAAGTCGGTGTCGTCGAAAACACCATGTTTGCTGCTCTCACGTTCCTTTCTGCTGCTAGTACGGAAAATACATAGTTTATGTCACCTATACTATAGATCTTCAGTGCTGGCAGTGAATATCGAAACGCAGTCGTAGAAGCCTGTGGTGCGTTCCGTTTCACGCATATGCGCACATTTATCTATAGTTTATGTCACGTATACTATAAAAAATGCGCGCATATGCGTGAAACGGAACGCACCCCTGAATTTTCTGGGAAAAAGGTGTTTTCCTATTGGATGTCATATGTATATCGTATATGGATATCGGACGTTGTATGAATCCACCCTAATTCTCATGAGACAGACTATCTTCAAAAATATTTTGTCGATGATGCAACTATGTATTTTTCATTATTAGGTTAGAGTGGTTGTACTAGCTATAATAGATAATTTACAAGAAAATTTGATCCGAATAAATTGTGACAAAAAAAGATGTGTTCTTTGAATGATTATAAATGTAACAATAATGAGGATGAAATACTGGAGAGTACAAAAGACTCTTTGTCGTAAGCATAACCATGACTAATAAATTATAGAAAGACCTTTTCCATAATTTGTTTCAATATGTAATATATTTACACTCTCTTATCATGTTTGACAGAGATACAAAAATATGCAGAAAGTGCAAGATAAAGGATGTTGACATTCTGTTGAGTGGTCAGAGTGGTTATTGCAATATGTGTTTTCTGACTGTCACCAACCATAAGTTTAGAGCTGCGCTTGGTAAATCTAAAATTATCCGTCATGGTGATTCAGTATTAGTCGATCACTCAGGTGAATTGAATTCCACGATACTTTTGCATATGATTAAAGCTGGTATGAGTGAGTCTACCCATAAAAAGTTTATGTTCAAAACAACAGTTTTATACATAGATGGTAAGTCTTATGTAATTCAGCAATCTTTTTATATTTAATTTTATATTTATGAAATTATTTTATCTTAATAGATGCTACATCAAATAAAACAACAAATGAAGATAGAAATAGCCTACGACGTAAAGTTGCTGAGCAAGTAAAGAATTTTGGATTTGACTGCTATGTTGTATCATTGAGTCAAGTTTTGAACACGGAGGATTTATTAGACATAAGACAGATTGATGGTGAATTGATAAACAGTGACAATGAACAGTTATGTAAGATATTATCCAATTTGTCAAACAATACCTCAAGGATAGATTTACTTGACAAATTACATCGAAAGTTGCTCTTGTCTGTTGCTCGGAAACTCAATTGCAACAAGGTGTTTGTAGCAGATTCTACTATGGATGTTGCTACAAAAGTACTTGGAGACATTTGTTTAGGACGAGGTGCACAACTTTCTACACTTGCAGCATTTTGCGACGCTCGATGCACAGACATCAAGATACTCAAACCATTGAGAGATTTTACGCAGCAAGAATTAGTGTATTATTCAGAATATTACATGTTGAATCCTGTTAAATCGAAAAAAATGGATATAACAATACAGCCAGCAATTTCCATACAGGCTTTGACATATAATTTCACAATGGCCCTAGAATCGCAGTTTTCTGGTACAATATCTACCATAATGCGTACAGCTGAGAAACTAAGTGCAAGGAATAACCAGAACAATCAAGATATGGAAGATAATTGTGTTCTATGTGATGCAGGCTTAAATTCTGTGTCTTCTGATAATGTCACTGCTATGAAGGCGATTGAAGTTTCTAGATTAGTATCTTCTGATGCCAAGGATATAAGGATTTTTATTAGAACTGAAGAAAAAGAATCGTTCAACGATAAGAAATCAGTTCGGACGAATCTGTGTTTGCCCACTAACGCAGAGTGTTGCAATAATAGTGGCAGTCGGTGTGATTATGTGGGTAATAAAATAGGACAATTGACTGTGGAGGATGTACAGAGATGTTTATGTTACAGTTGTAAATTGATATTTAGGAATTCAGACTTTTTAAGCAGTTTGCCAGCATCATTATTATCTTCTATGCAGAAAAGATTGGCTTTAAAGAAAATGAGAAACGATATCAGCGATTTTTTATTATAACAATATAAATAGTATTACAGTACATAAACAGTATAACAGTATATAATAGTAGTAACAGAATAAACAGTAGAAACTAAGAGAAATATTACATTTCAATTTAATATTATTTAATTAGATAAAATTACAGAACTAATATCACTATTCTTTTTCTAAAGTAATTATTGAAAAAATTTGATGTAATAGAAAGTTAATAATTTACAAAGTTACTTTACTGAATTAAACATATTGTCAGTACTTGATTTTTTTATACTGTCAATATATTTTGCGCATAATTAAATATGTGAGTATTTAAAATAATGTTCTTTCTCACTGTTATGAAAACAAAATAATAAGCTATATTTTTATTTATTTATTTATTTATACATATTACTAAAATTGCAGAGTTTTGAAAAATACGGATATGACGTAGCTCTTTTGATATTTCCTAAAATTCACGAAAAATCTAGGCAACTTAATCCCAAAAGAGAGAACACGTTCGATTGAAGACGTTCCGGTTATTTATGCCAAGTGTTACTTAAGAATCAGAGGTCAAGTCCGTTCGGGGACTTTTCCTGAAATGTCTCGTGTCTTATTACATGTTTGTACGAAACATGCGAATGTAGTTCTTAGCCTATCGATCGCAATACACAATAGGTACCGACTGAGGATGACGACTGGGAACTGAATATATATAGACTATGCTTGCGAAATTCAGCGGAGAGCGGCAGGGAGGAAGGAACGGCGGAGGATCAGGGGAATGGTTTGGAATTAATCAGTATCGGTCTTCAGCAAATAACCGTAACGAGGATCCCTCGGTCAACTCGTCGGGCTCTCTAAGAATTCGAGGAAAGACTACATACCGAAGCGGACAATGGCCGTTCGATAATGAAGCTGCGGATTTCCCGATAATGTTCGGAAAATATCAGTAATTTATTTGGCAGATAGTTATTTTTCGTCTTTTGTTTTTTTTCTCTGTTGTATTGCACAGATTGTATTTTCACACGAGATTTATTGATCGTTTGACTCGTTGTAGCAAACAAACAGAAATGAAAATTTTCTGAAAGTTAAAAATGAAACTGACTTCTTGATGATCGAAATTCATATTACGATATATTGAATTTTTCTATTCAGAAAAACTATTGATTTAATTTGATTTTGTTATCGTCAAATCGTTCACTATCTTATTTTGCGCCTGACGTTTTGATTGCAACAATTTCTTCATTTGGGATCAGAATATGGTGAAATTTTTTTATACATTGTTAGCTAATTTTCTCGAATTTTATTTCGAAAAAAGGATCACTATATTATTAGGATATTTAATGCAATAAAATTGATTGCAGTGGAAATATTAGTGTATATTTCACTGATGGCATCTATTCCACATCACTTATTAACCATTCAGCTAATTGACACGAAGTAAATGAATAGAGATGATTATTTGTGGATTGTTTATCCAACCTGTTACATTATTGAATATAATGATATATAGAATGGCGTATTCAATAAAATTATATTTCATATTACTCTCAATTGCGTATTTCGCACAAAGTTATTAAATCTGCAAATATTAAATCTGCTTTCTCCCTTCATCGTGAATTTTACGTATATCCATGTCAAATAATTATTAAATTGTTATTAATTTATCAATTACAGTATATATTCGTCGCACGATGATTTGGATGATCTTTGTATGATGTATACATTATTACATTAATCGACATCAATCATTTAAAGCTACAACAAATGGCGAGTTACCCGTGACCGCTCATTACCTGTGATTTCTGACCGAAGTCTATTCTCGTCCTCCCCCGAGAGACGAGTCGCCGAGCGTATCGATAGGGTTTTTCCGCGCAACGCTCGTGAACAGTCTGATCCTTCGTAATCTGCGCGATAAGAAAAATTAGGAGAGTCCCTTGGCGTCTTGCGGTGGTTTTTCCTTGCGGATAAAAGCAGCTCAGAGTAAATTGCACCGGTTATTCGTGCAGAAACCCGCATCGATCCTGAACTCCAGGATACTCTGTCCATGAACGGCAGGCTGTCGTTTAACCGTCAAACGTGTCGCGTTTATCGCAGCGGCCGCCCATGCTTAGATTGATAAGCGCGGCCTCTAATTAGCGTTTGGCGCGCAACATACCTACGCTCGGCCGTATATCAATTATCTTTAGCCGCTTTTGAGGGGAAACTCGGTCGACTTGCTAGGTCGATGATTTATGTTCGCGCCGTTTAACCAAGTTTTTGTGCCGCGGCTAAAGTTTTAAAGATGATTTATACGCACCCTCTGGACTTCGCTTCAATGCGAAGGCTTCAAGGCTCGCGACGCTCGGGGATGTTTTTCACGGCATCGCGCGCATAAAGGGAACAACCGCGTTATCCTTGGAATACTTGAAATTAATAGTGAATCAAACTGTAATGATGAATTAACAATGAATTCCATTTTCCCGCGTTCAATCGCATGTGATGATTGGTTGATATACTTAACTGAATGGGCCAATCAGCGAAGTCGGCTCGACCGGCGTACGACCGGCGGGACGTGTGCAAAACACACGCCATTTTGAGACGTAACGGACGCTCGAAAAAAGTCGCGCCGCATGAAGGTGAGTAAGCTTGGCTCTGAAAGAATCTGGAATGTTCTGTTTACGCCGATTGTTTTGATCTCGGCCGGCCGCTGACCGTGCGCGCGCTATTCGCTATTGTCAGCTGACAGCGTTGTCTTTTTTTGCTAATGTTTACTTATCTCGCGCAGCGCAACCGCGACCCGCAACCGAGTCGTTACTGTGTCGAACCGACGAACGACGCGAGGACGTGTGTATCGGCGCACATCTCTAATTCTCTTTCCCGTCGATTCGAGATATCAAGGTAAGACAATGGCGTATACTACAATGTTATATTTTGAGATGTTATATATCTTCGTTGACTCTTCAAGTACGACGAACTTGCCTTGCCTTGGGTTGATGTAGAGCCAAATTTCGATATCGGGATCTCCTTTGAAACCCCGCCGGATATTTCACTCAAGAGCTGACGCTTGCTCACGCATTGGGCAAAAATTCTTTTTAAATGATCAAGTTATATGTTGAGCTACAAATTTTATCATAATTAGAGAAAGACTGCGAATTAGGCGCTCCTCCTGAATTTTGCCTTTTAACGCGGAGATAAATATGAAGTAGCGCTCGCGCCTTCCGGCGCAGCGAATCGCGAGATGTAAGGTACACAAGGAGTTCCGAGCATGTAAATGTACCGTCGGGCACTCGCGCGACGACGGTTGTGCGCGCAAACTTAAACGGACGCGGTCAAACGTGAAATCATAAAAGTTTCAGTTCGCAGAAGATGTGAGGGCGGGATCCACGGCGCCATCCGCGCGGCCGGATATATAAGCGGACTGTCGCGGTATATTTTAGTAGCCATGATCATTCGCTTTCGACGGAGGATTAAACTCCATCCGCGAGCCTTCCTCGTGCTCGCTGTTTGAGTTGTTCTTCCCCGACGGATTTAGCTGCGCGCAATTTATTCGTCCGATTGCCGACATATATATATATATATGTATATTTTTTTTCAGATATATATATATATATATATATGAAAAAAAGAAAAATGGTCGCCGTTGCCTTTCTTTATTTTCTTTTTCCGTCTTTTTCTCTTCAACGGTACGGATGAAACCTCGATACTTTCGAACTGGCGCATTCGGTGTTAAACGCACGACGACCGAGAGTACGATATCTGTATCTACGTTCGTGCAGCCGACCGACTGGTTATTCGGAACTATCGCGCTTTTATGTGCCGTGCACTTTTATCCGCCGTCGTTTGGATGCAGGAAAGGGCGCATAAGCGCGGATCGACACCGCGAGACGCAGTCGGGGGTGGAAAGGGCACGCGAATGGTAGACGGGGCGCACTTTGCATCTCGAATGGCCAATTACGTGCTCAGCCTGAAATACGCCACATTAAAGCGCTATATTCCAACGAGCGGAACAAACTGCCGTATCGTGACCTACTGTCCGCCTCCTGGTGAACAGGACTCCTTAATACGAACAACGCGAATTTTTCTTTCGATAACGGAGTCTCATTAATTCTAACAATGCGCGTTTTTCCCGACGCAGAAATCCCATTAAACACGTCGGTAGAATTTTGTCTTTAGCACTTTGACGGCCATATGCGTAGTTTTACTTTTGTCAATGTTTGTGTTGCTTATGGAGAAATATTATGACGAAACATGTCAAGCTAGTTGTGAAGAAATATTTCAATCAATCGTGACAAACTATGATTATAATTTTTTTGGAGTACAGAGTTGTGTATAAAAATAGATTTATGGATTTTACGCAATATATACGAAAATATTCCCCTTTCTTTAATTACAGCTTAAACAAATTCTCGAAATCTATCTGGGTGGGGATACATTTTTTGTAACAAATTGCGACCGTCAAAATATTAAGTAAGACGCAATAGAATCCAATGATCGCAATAGAACCCAATATGAATCCCTATAGCGTTTTTAGCGACATTATGCCGTGAATTAATCAATCGCAACTTTTCTTTGCGATTTCATGTATTTAACTATCGTGCGATATTATATCATCGGGAAAGTCAATTCGACGTGAGAATGAAGGAACTGAAAGAGAACTGTCGCGAAGCTCTCGCCGATGAGGTTGCTTCTTGTCTCTCTCTCTCTCTCTTTCTCTCTCTCTTTCTCTCTCTTTTCTGGAGATAGAAAGAAGGAGATCGACATGAAAGAAAGCTGGGAAGAAGCTAGCTCTTCGCCACAACATCATGATGTTGTTATGCTTTATGCGATTTACTTAGCGTGATGCTGTTTTCTCGCGTATTGCGCTTTTTCTCGCAGGCTAATGCGCCGTACGGTGTTGCGGAATGAGAACGTGGATTGATACGTAAAAGCGACAGTAGGGAGGGGGAGGACCTATAAGTAGACAAGCTCATGCTCGTGCGAAATAAACGACAGATTGCTCACACGATCCGATCTCTAATTTACGGTAGTAATATCTTCAGGAAAAAAAGAGAAAAGGAAAGGAAAAACAAATATTCGACGCCGAGTTTAATCTAAAGTCCGCCATAAAGTTTCGAAAAATACGATCGCGAACGCGAGACGATCGGATCAAGGGAGATCCTCGAAGCTTGCTCGCGCGATAGGGGAAGGTACGTAGAATGAAAAAAAGCCAGGTACGCGCGCGTACTCTTTCGAGGAACGTGTGAACGTGACATACACTCGCGTTGTTTCGAAAAGGAGAGAAAGAGAGAGAGAGGGAGAGAGAGAGAGACGGCCAATGGAAGAAGCGAGACACGAGACGAACGTGTAACACGAAAAAAATTGATGTGTTTTATTTATATACAATATTTACAAAGGCGTAGTGTATCAAGTGGCTATGAATGTACTCCTTCGTACGCTCGAGTTTGCGAAAACGTGGCGCGAGCGTGTGTAAGTGTGAATTCTCGTTTCCTCGCGAATCAGCATCAGCCATGGTCCAGGGGCCTCGTATACCCTGTTGAACGATGGTCGACGACCTAGAAGTAAGCGATGCAGGCCGTCTGGATCCTCCCTTGTCCATCCGTTTAGATCGCCGCCCACTTCTTTTCTTGATGCCTCAACTGGCAGGTTTGACCCTTAAATGCAGCTCTCTTGGATGCTCCTGGTGATCGACTCCGAGTGCGGCCTTTGGAGGCTGTAGAATGTCTGAAACCGACCGAAAAGCTGGAGCAAAGAGCTTGAGACAGTGAAACAAGTATCGATTATCGCGAGCGATCGCCGTAAAAGTCACATTTTCGCTAATCGAGGGCGAGGAAGGATACCGCCGGGTGCGACGGGCGATTAAGACTTATACTTGTGCGATTATTTCGCGTCTCCGCGACGCCGCTGTGGAAATTTTTACTCAAGCGACACAGTAAAACACGAGACGCGCGACGGAGCTTACGTGCACCGCGACTACATTGCCATTCGATACGACACCGCACCGGCACCCGGGGTTAAATCGAGTTTGGAAGATATTTGTCTAAGGCTTAAGGTTAAAAGACCCTGTCTCGACGGAGGTATATGATACCACTTAGAAAAATGTAGAACGACGACTGAAATTGAATTCGATTTATCCGCGCGCGGAGAGAGAATTCTTGCTAGAATGATATAGAATTTTATAGCGCCAGACTTTTATGGTATTTTTATAACATGAACTATACTGTATATACACACTATATATATACATACATATATATATATATATATACGTGTGTGTGTATATAAACATGCACACATATACGTCGCCGGTAAATTTTCTCAATGCGACGGGAGTATAGAGATAAAAAGGCAGACTTTTCGAACGAAAAGATTCGTCGGTCATGTTTTCACTTCAGATACGAAGTTGACATCGGGGACATTCGATAACCAACACTTTTGCAATAATACTGATACGGGAGCCGGGGTTTTCTGATCTAAATCGTCCGCCAAATAAATAAACTGAATGTATCACGGGCCAAAGAAAGGCCAAATATCTCGAAAACTATTAGGCACGACGGAAATGCTTCCGTGCGCTGAATTTGGCCCGCTGGTAAACGCGATAAGCGGGATCGTAAAGCAGGCCGGATCGAATTCGAAAGTGGTTTTCTGTGTTCGGAGCTATCGGCTAACATATAGGTATACGCGCTTGCCGTAGTTCGCCTTACGTCAGAGGTTCCTCCTCAGTTCCGCACCGTTTGATATTTCGTTTTAATACCTCGACGCAACTGACAGAATTAAATGACGCAACACCTCCGATGAGAGATTGCGAGATTACAAAAACTCGAATTACCGCGAAGAAACGGTAAGAAAGCTCAACGACACGGAATACACGGGCGGCCCGCGTTAATGTATCGCTTTGTGATATCTTTTTCTCGAATAGCGTGACATCCTCTTCCTTCTCTCTCTCTCTCTCTCGGGACGTAACTCTCGGAGGTACGCAGTCTTCGTTTCACGAGTCAATATCTCGGATAAAAGTCGGATTACTCACGTTTGGCGATGCTCTCGGATAATCTGAATCCTCTAGAACGTCGTGGGACATCTCGCGTCCTTCCAGCTGACGTGGTCTTCGCGGCAGGGACCCGTAACGAGGAAGCTTCCTGTCTGGAAGAAAGTCCCAGGGTGGACTTAGCGTCAATCGCATAATCGGTTTGAAGTAAGCTCGCGGATTTCGCAAAGTATTTTCAACTTCTCGAGCAACTTTCGCGGCGTTTCCCACTCGCGGGCGGCACTCTGTTACTTTTATTGTTTTGTTTGCGCCGGAAGTTTCCGGCTTGTAGGGAGGAATCGAAAGTGGGGGAGAGCGCCAGGTGAACACGCTTCCTCTGCGCGTCGCGACTTGAGAAACGGTCCGCCTCGAGGATAGAATTTATCGAGGATAAATTTCGGCTCGGACGGCCCGCCCGGATCGAATTGATTCGGATGATTTTGATTTGGAACCGCAATCGGAGATAAATACTGTCTTCTCTTCCCTCGGTGCTCACAGCGAATACCATCCATATAATCCCTCGCGCGGAATTGCCAAAGGCACGCGCATCTTTCTACGTACACACGCATCTAAGTCCCGCATACGTTCTGGCGCGAGTATGCATATGTCGATATATACTAGAGCCGACCACATACCGTATGTGCAATTTTCTTAAAAGTACCGTTAACACGCGCCGCCGGTTTAAGGCGAAACCCGATATTCTTGAGATACTCGTACAAATGCGGCAGTTCCATCAGTCTAAGTAGAAATTCACCGAATGGGATGGCCGGTTATGCGCGGACGATATGCCTCCGGTCCTTTCTTAAAGGTGCACTTGTAGGATTTAAATGGTAAATTCCTGTCCGTCTGCCACTCTTCCCACTTCTTTCTTTCAGCCCGGCTCTAATTCTTTTTCTCTTGGACCGAGAGCTTCTCGACGTTTTATAACTGAATATAGCGAATTTTCTTCGGCAATGCTTCAAGCGCACTTTGCTAACTGCAAAAAAAGTAGGCCGGAGCATCGGACGAGCCGCGCGGGAATTGATCCCGCAGTGTTGTGCGAATGTCGAAACCTCGCGGTCGGATTGGCAGTTGAAGAATATTTGCCATTCTTTCCCTGTTACTTTCATTTCACCCGCTGGACGCGGCGCTTCGTTGTCGACATCGGAATACGCGATTTATGTCGCGCGCGAAAATCGTTGAATGCTCGCGTTATCGGACAAATTTACCAGTGAGATGATTGGTCAGGACCGTCGTGGGAATGAGATCCGGATTGCCGTCTTCTTCTTCGCCCTTGCCGGCGAAAGTCGCGATGGTCGGCTGCTGCGGTGCCTTCGGTTTCGTAGGAGTGGCCGCGTGCCTCCTCCAGAGTGCCATTAGCACGCCGGTCACGATTAAGCCCAGACCGGTCGCCGTGCCTCCCAGCCCGATTAGAATCGGTGACATGTCGACCGAGGACGTTGATTCGCCTGCGAATGAAAAATCTCCGTTATAATTCTGTCCGTAAAAGACGCTCAGGATATAACCGATCCTTTCCGGTCAAAGTCGCGTCCAGAGATAATATTCTCGCATAGAAATGAAACGCAAAAATCACAGGAAAATGATCGAATCGAGTATGTGAGCAGCGAGTCATTTCATAGTCACCTTTTCATCATCATTTTCACATCATCGTGATTTTCTGCCCTGTGGGTTGTCGGTGCCAAATTATTTTGATTAAATTACTTAATTAAATCAGGAATCTCTGTATCACTCGGGTACTCAGACTCGCGGATATCATTCGGCTATTCCAAGCTAAAGTTTTTCTGAAGATAGAACAAGATATGGAACAATGGATAGGACAAGATAAGATGGAACTTTCGGATGATCCTCGGTTAGTATAAGTAGTTTGAGGTAATCAGAGAAATACTTTAATGTCCCGCTGGTACTCGAGATACTTGAGTATCCAGACTCGATAGTAGGGATATACGGTTCAGTGGTTCTTTCCTTCCACGTGTAACAATCTACCGATCTACCATTCACCTTAACGACTTGTTCCCTCTCGTCGGTCTCTCCGTCTCTATCTTGCCTTCATCTCAATAATTCGTTGGTTGATTTCGCTGCTTACTCCCGCTTAAGATTTCACGGCAGTAGTTGCGGTCAGCCACGGATCGGACGCGACCCGATTCCAATTTACCTATTCGACAATCGTCGCTCGCGTCGCGACGAGAGAGACAGACAGGCAGACAGACAGACAGAGAGAGAGAGAGAGAGAGAGAGAGAGAGAGAGAGAGAGAGAGGGGGGGAGGGGGGAAGGGGAAGGAAGGAAGGAGAGCGTTTTCTCCGGTGAGCGTAATCTGTTTCCAATTAAGGCGCGGCGTCGAGTCGATCGTTTCGAACTTCGTGGCAGGTTGCATTACGGTGGCCTAACGCTGCGGCTGATTTGTGAGTCGCTCCATGAGAGAGGCGAGAGAACTGCAGCGGATTAGGAATAGCTCCGGCTCTGCGGGAACGACGGGTCGTCCGCGTCGTTTCCGCGCCGTCGTTAATCATTCGGCTTAAACCGCGGCGTGAGTATACGAGCGTGTGTATGCGTGTGTGTGTGTGTGTGTGTGTGTGTGTGTGTATGTGTGTTAACATGCGCGGGTGTGGGCGTATGTACGCCCACCGAGCCGCCAGAATTACTGTGCTCTTCTTCGACTAAGGCTTCGCTCGACTCGAAAAGTTGACTTTCCCGACTCGATACTCGATCTCTAATAGGCTAACGTTTATTTCTATGGGTTCAGCGCAGGTTGATACAAGATCTCGCGACATAGTCGTATCTCGTACATCGGACATGCTTTCCGTAATTATACGGCTGTTTACCGCTGTACGTATAATTACACTTCTGTTAGCTTGTACCGATCTCCCGCTATCCGATGGAAACGCGAAAAGGAATTTAGGAATTCTGACCGTGGCGTAGTTTGAAACGCTTTCGAGTATGTCTCGGCTTAGCGCGCTCTGCGCGCTAAACTAAAATCCTATATTAAGGTTCTGTTAAAGTAAAGCCCGTTTCAAATTAGCCGAAGATCGTAGATATTGCACGATCGCAGTCGCAGGATAATACGGAGTATATCGGTGCTCCACCGACATTCCTTCCAAATGGCACCTTTTTCATTTGAATTAATCTCGTGTCTCGCGTGGAAACTCTCTTGAAATATTAAGCGTCAGCCGACAATCAAGCCTCAGGTTAGGAGTCTCCTAAAGAACCTGGAGATTAAATATAAATGAAATTGCCAGTGATTCTCTCAGCTTTTAATCAGGTATAATAAGGTACTAACAGGTCCTACAAAAGCCGACGCGGCTTGATCGTTTTTACGTTAATCGGTAGTTTTTACGTTAATCGGTAGTTAGGAAAGGGAGAGGAGATTTTATGCATTACTCCATCAATTCAGTACCTATCAATATTGAAGGGGTCTAAAAAGTGTATCCGGTAATGTTAAGTGTTCTAAAAATATTACAAATTCCTCGCGACGAGACAACGAAATAATTACAGCCGCGACGGGATCGACTTGCCCGGGTCGATTCTCATGGTTCTGGCAACGTCCCTCACACGATTAAATAATATCACGTTGGCGAATTTAAGACCGAAACACTAGAAGTCCCTCCGGCCTCTCTCGCTTGCCTTCGATAGCTATCGGTATCGCGCGACGATTCGTTAACGTGAAACCGAAGAATCCGTGGACCGAAGGAATGCGCCGCACGCCGGCACGCTCGGCGCTTACAAACGTGAGCGTTGTAGCGAACGCCGTAATTTGATCGTGCTCTGTTAAACAGGTATCCGTGGAAGTTGCGCGTCGCATCGACACCGGGCAAACAACCGGTCGGCTAATTTGTTTCCAATTAACAATCAAGTTTCAGTTAAATACTAATTAACAAAGCACAAAGCGCGCGCCAATTCTCTTGCCATTGACTGCGGAGGCGTAATTGAATACGAACGCGAGCATCGGGTACACGAGAGTCTGCTGACGGACTCGAGGGAGGCACGCCGCGCCCCTCTCTCTTAAAGGTAACGAAGGGTCTCTCCCTCCCTCTCTCTCTCTCTCTCTCCCTCCCTCTCTCTCTCTCTCTCTCTCTCTCTCCCTCTCTCTCTCTCTCTCTCTCTCTCTCTCTCTCTCTCTCTCTCTCTCTCTCTCTCTCTCTCTCTCTCTCTCTCTCCCCCTGTCGCTTTGCTCCGCGTTGAAACGAGGCGCGCGCGCGCTCTGCACTGCGGTGTCTGCATTCTGATTTCGCGAAATTCGCCGCTGATGATTCTACGCACTCACACTATCCGCCGCTTTCTCTCCTCTCTTCTTAGCTCATCTCTGCGCGCCGCCTTCGTTCGCGATAAATCACGAAACGAGGACGCGAGGATACGGCGAAGAACTCTCCTCCAAACGTTGCTGACGCGTTCAGTTAGGACACGACCGACGGTTGAACTTTGAACCTGCGGACGATCCGCCCCGCATTTATTCGACCCGCGTGCGTGCGCGGGGCCTTCACTCACCAACATCCTCCGCCCCTTTTGGCAGTTCATCGTTCGACGCGCGCGCGCGCGCGCGCGAGAGAGAGAGAGAGAGAGAGAGAGAGAGAGAGAGAGAGAGATTGTCAGAGCGCGAATTCGACAGTCGGGCGAGACTCACGAGAGCACGTCGAGAATCTTACTTCTCGCGAATTAACTAAGCAGCAGCGCCGGTATGTCGCTGTATGCAGTAGGCACGAGATGACACGTCGCTCTTGATTTGTATATCAAAAGGGATCGCGCGCATTATTCAGAGCCTCCGTGCGTATTCTCGGGCGCGTATATTCTCGTTACATCGCCGCGCGCCGTCTCGCCGGGCGTCTCGTCAGTCAACGGGAGATCAACGCGAAGCAACGTCGATCGCTCGCGATTGGGAGCGATTCTCGCGCGCTTCGATCGGGGAAAACGCGGCGCGCGGGGTATAGGCGGCGGGCGGCAACGGAACGCGGGCGGAAAGCAGAATGCATAATAATGGCTCATAAATTTTGACGCTCATAAATTTTCCGCGAGGCTCGACCGCACATGTTTCAGCGAAACCGGCAACGGCCACGACCAGGGTTGACCTCTCCGCGCGGCGAACTGTTCAACAGGGATCATTTGCATGTCGCCGTTGGCATTTCCGGTTGACGTGACGCTACGACCGAGCAAATTGAAGCGCGAGAGACTTTACGTGTCCGTTCTTCTTGCTGAATACGCGAGCGCTCAAGTGTAAGGAGAGACAGGAAATTAGAATTGGTGGGAAGAGAGAAAGATGCGCGAGAAAATTCGTCTCGGAGAACGTCCGCCATATCCGCCGTGTTGATTTCATCGCGCCGACAATACGGGAACTTGAGCCGATGCGACGATCGAATCGCCAGAGATATATGGCGAGTAAACTCGAATATAATTCAAATAACAATGTGTGCCCATTTCGCCTCGTACCATTCGCTCTCTATTGGCTCAGTACAGCCGAGCTTATGATGCGTGATGGCGAAATGATTGCGCATTCTTCGCGGCCTGTTTACTCGTCGCGACCCGAATGAAAAGAATGCCGCGGGTATTGCGTGTTCGAGAGCGCCGCGTTTCATCAAACAGCCACGTTCGCGTTTGCGGTCTTTTGCGGTTAAACAAGGCAGAGCTCTTCATCACCGTAATTTTTACAGTATACACGTTTTGTCAAGCATGTTTTTTCCTCTTTTCTTTTTTCGTTCTCTCTCTCTCTCTCTCTCTCTCTCTCTCTTTTGTTCTCGCTCCCTCCATTTCTCTACCCATCTCTCTCTTTTGCAATAGGGAAATTTATACACAGGAGTCGGTAGAGGCGTGGATTTTCCGCGATATATGATTTTTACCACACCATATTTTTTGCCGAAGTCCGAATAACGAGCGAAGGGCCAGCTGGTCGATCGATAAGCTGCGATTTGATGCGAACGTCAGCTCGCCGGGGGTTGAAAACGGAATAAAGGGCGCTCGATGGAAGAAAGAAAAAAAGCACTGGCAAGGCTCCCCTATGGGAGGGTATGAGATATCGATTCCGCGGCATTCGACTTTATTTGCATCGCGATTGAGAGGATTAAGGAGACGGGCTTTCTTGGGATTTTCTCCAGGCGTCGTGCCATAGACTTTTAATGTTTCTGGCAGTGTAAATTGCATGAGCTACGCGAACCGTGCCGACGATACAGCAGCGTACACGCGCATACATACGCAGAGACAGAAAAAGCTCTGACGAATGTTAAAATTGAAAAAAAGAGGAAAGAAAACAAGAGAAACATTACTCTCCGAGTTGATTCGACGGGCTTTACGTTGGCCGATTCCGCTGACGTTCAATCGCGCTTTAATCTCCTCGCGCGTTTGCACGTTTGCGCATCGTGACTTGCTCATTCGCGGAAAGAGACGAACGATATGAGTTGAGTGTTGAGACGAAACTTGGCCGACGTCAAAGTAAAGGCAGACCTCACTTTGTAACGAACGAGATTGCATCGCCAATTACCAAACAGTCTGCGTAGAATGATCGGGTCGGGTCTTTGGGGGGGGGGGGGGCGATGCGCTCAGAGTGAGTTATCTCCTCGCTCATCGACCAACGATAGACCCGTTCGGACTCCGCGGAAACTTACCGGTGAACTTGGCTACCCCTTTCAAAGCGACTACTATGGTGAACGGCTCGCTGGAGCCTTTCGCGTTCACCGCGTAAAGGGCGATCTTCGTCGGCTTGGATAGCTCAAACTCCCAGTATGGGCTCGGGGACTCTAGACGACGTTTACCCACGATGGCGACGAATTTCTGCGGCAGACCACCGTCGTATCCCTCGACGCAAGATATCCTCACCCAGGAGCCGCTCTGGTTGTAGGTGGTGCAGTTCTGCAATGGGTAAGGTCTGCCTGCGAAGAAGAAACGGCTTTGAAGATCGCGAGAGCGAAGGGGTAGGGGGGAGGGCGCAGTGACCGATTAAGAAAGTCGCGGAGTCGCTTCTTCAAAGGAGACATTTTCATTTTTCAAACGGGGTCGCTCTCTTTCTCTCTCATATCTAGTTTTGTCCTCTTATTCTGTCTCGGCATGTATTCTACCTCGTTCTATCTTTTAACGATGTTTCAAATAAGTTCTGAATACGTCTCAAATAATAACGATGTTTTAAATGAAAGGGAAGAGACGCAGGGAAGGATAAAAATATAAGGATGCTTTTGACGATGTCAAAGCGAATCGATAGCACTGATAGGTTGGGAAGAATTTGACGAGTTAATTAGTGTGCTCTCTTGTGGGATTGACCGTATCTTATCAGGATTAAAGTTTAATATAACTATATATGAAAACGTTAATGAAAATCAATTTGTTGCGATCAAACATGCACACACACACACACACACACACACACACACACACACACACACACACACACACACACACACACACACACACACACACGCGCGCGCGCGCGCGCGCGCGCGCAGGCGATGGTTACGTAACGGATAAAAATAAAAGTATTCTCGAGTACATTTCCGATCTTTTTGTGCATATAACTCCGAAACATGTGTCATATTTTTAAACAAATCAAAGCGAGATAAATTCAATCCACGAAAAAACGCAGCAAACGTTATTTTTCATGCTTTACAAGGGGATCGATGAAAATATTTATTTGAGGAAATATTTGACAAAATGAGACTAACGGATAATAATCTAATATAAATTATTTTCTTACTATTCAGGAATTTTACATACATAATGTTTTACATTCTGATTATCAAACGTGATTTTACAATGTTTGACATTAATTTCCTCCTATAATAATATAATTGCTAGTTGTCCATATTTCTTGATGTTTTTCACGGGGATGTGTGTATGTGTATGTGTGTGTTTAATTATTTTAGCAAAATTATATATTCTATATATACACGGAGTATCCTATTTTAATCGGGCACCTCAATTAGCATTGCAGAAGGTAGTTGGATGAAAAACTGTTTTAGACAAAAGTTGTTTGGTTTGAAAAAGGACATAAGACAACGTTTTTTTTGTTTGACAAATAACGCTACTTTCAGATATTCACTAATCATCACTTTTCTTAAATGGAAACCCATAATTTTTTATTATATCATTCTTTTTTACCAATTAATTTGGACAACTTTTGTCTAAATATTTTTTTGTTTGCCTAATATTTTTTAAGATATTTAAGGAAAACTTGATAACTTTTCCAAGATTTAGTTTACGATATCTCGGTAAGTATTTGTTGGAAGGAAAAGTGATGTTAAACTTTTTTACACTCTATTTGGTCTCAAGAATATACTGTTATAATATAGTGCTCTAACTTTTTAACTTGTTGACCTTTGGAAATTTTAAAATTATCAAGCTAACAAAAGTTAGGGCAATATTGTATTAGGGCATAGCGTATTCTTGAGACTAAATAAAGTAAAAGAGTCTAGTATATCCCCCACTTTTTCTTCCGATAAACAGTTACCAAGATATTGTAAGCTAAATCTTGGAAAAGTTACCGAGTTAGTCCTTAACCCTTTAATTGCTGAGATATTAAATGACCAGTATGACCCTCTTTGCTGAGTTATTTTTACAATTATAAAATATTTTATAATGATAAGAGATGGCACTATATGCCCGCTCAATTCAAGTGCTTTTTACAAACTAAATTAAATAGGTATTACATATTAAAAGTCCAAATCGAGTAAACTCGATCGTAGCAAGGCCGCCATTTTTTTCCACACTCGAGTTATCTCGACAGTTAAAGGGTTAAAGATTTTAAAAAATATTAGATAAACAAAAAAAATGTTTCAGACAAAAGTTGTCCAAATTAATTGGTAGAAAAATATGATATAACAAATTGGGATTTCCATTTAAGAAAAGTGATGATTAGTGAATATTTCGAAAGTGGCGCCATCTGTAAACAAAATGATATCGCTGTCTTATGTTCCCCTTCAAACTAAACAACTTTTGTCTAAAATATTTTTTCATCCGACCATTGTCCGTGATACTAGTCGGGGTGCATAATTAAAATGGACATCTTATATATATGTATCTCTCTCTCTCTCTCTCTCCCTCCCTCCCTCCCTCCCTCTCTCCCTCCTTCGCTCTCTCTTTTTTCTTGTTTTTCCTTACGACAAATTCGTTCAAGGCAAATACTACGAGATTTTGCCCGCGCTCTCCGCAAAGTTTCGACGACGTGAAAAAAAAAAGTGAGAGATTGCTGCGGCATGGTCGAGTCATTTCGCGAATTTCGCTTTATTGCCCGGCGCAAATTGCGTCGCAATGCCAGTCCGTTTTTGGGGCAATGAAATTATGTTCCGGGAGCGTCATTATCGACCACGCCACACGGTGGTGCATTAACTGAATCGCGTTGTACACAAACGAGACCGAAAAATCCCGCAGCGCTGCCTGTCCCCCGAGGACAGCGCCGATATCTTGTCCGTTAACACAACCGAATTAACTCACCGAAAATATCAACTTTTTCTTTCTTCTTCTTTCAATCTTCCTTTTCTCCTTTTATTCATCTCAATAGTCAGTGATACGCGATCGTTTTTGAAGACAAAGCGCTGGCGCGCTGTCACACGCGTGTCTGCCTTCGTACGATAAATTCCTCTTCAGACGAGTTTAATGCCGAATCGGCATCTCAAAATAACGTTAATTCGCTTTCCTTTTATATTGTTGACTCTAGCGGCGAGCATTCAAGTAGATAGAATTTATGGGGATTGTGTAAAAGGAAGAAACGGAGATAAAATCGCGTATTTCTCTCTCTCTCTCTCTCTCTCTCTCTCTCTCTCTCTCTCTCTCTTCTCTCTCTCTCTCTCTCTCTCTCTCTCTCTCTCTCTCTCTTCCTTTTCTCTCTGTCTTTCGAGACATTTTCCAAAGGTGCCGACTCGAATACGGCGAGAAGCGCGACGTCGTTGCCGCGACGCGAGTACAATAAGTAGAACAAGACGGAGATGGGTTCGAAGGATCGTTGTCATCGTCGTCGTCGTCGTCGTCGTTGTCGTCGACGCGGTGCGCGCATTCTGCCATTATTGCAGGTTCCACTGCATTTATTTTCGCGGCGCATCGCGCGCAATTGCTTTTGCCATCGCTAATCTCCCGGAAAGTGCAAAACGGAAGAAAATAGTCGGGGCTAATAGCACCGTCGTTGGTTACAGACGGCGCGGCTGCGGATTAAAGCGCTGGGTTCAGGCGGTTGTTTTTCGTCATCTGTTTTATTATCCGCGCTCATATCGCGCGTGTAACTCGAGGCCGCGTACCGGTTCTCGAGGGGATACGACGGAAATTTATAACTATCTCGCGTTCGCCTTGAATTCGAAATTACGTCGAATTTAGGGAGAATTTATACCGGTGTCTCACTGTTTTGCTTTCAGCCGCGTATCTCCACCGACGGATTTATGGCTATTTTCTTTTCGCGGGAGATTTCGTCGATAGACGTATTCGCGATCGTCTAATTTGCGACGCTGCGTTTCTCTGATATCGCTCGTATGATCTAAATTAAATTTTTGTTAAAGCGAGATTTTCTCCTCTGTCCCTCTCTCAGTCCCTTTCACAACCTTTCTGTGTCTTTCTCTCTTCTTCTCTCAGCTTGAAATTATCGGAGAACGCGATTTTGATGCTCTCTGACATTTAGGGCCGCACATAAATTTTCCATTACTCTTCATACATCCGTATATTTAGACTTAATCGAGCCTCCCCAACATTTCCGGTTCGAAAAAAAAACAAGGCGAAGAGATTGCAGCAGCCGTGTGCGCACTGCCAGCTCAATTAGGAGCAGTCGTGACTCGTGCATGAGTTTTTATTAAAAGGCGTTACCTGGAGAAAAATATTAAAGTTTCGTTTTTTCGGCGGCGGTCTGACGCGATATTACGCGCAAGCGCGCGGCTACAGCCGGCCGCTCGTTTCATTGGAAATTACGTCCGATCCTCGTAAAGTTTCTCAGAGGTATTGCCGTTGTTTTTCTCGCTTGGACTTTGCCGAAAAAATTCTCGCTTCTTTCTCCGGGAATTCGGGAAAAGTGAAGACTGAAGGAGCTAACGGCACGCAGTTCTGGGACATCGGTGCATTCGCAATAGATTTATAACTGGGCGCTCTCCTCTTCCTCTCTCTCTCTCTCTCTCTCTCTCTCTCTCTCTCTCTCTCTCTCTCTCTCTCTCTCTCTCTCTCTCTCTCTCTCTCTCTCGAGCGTACTCGACGAATCGAGGTCGGACTTTATCGCTTTTGGACGTCCTACCTTCTCGTTCGTAGCAGTCCAACGTGAGATTACACGTTACATCGCGGGGTTGCTACTGCGACTCTTGTTTACGGCCCCTTCACGGCTAGCTTACGAGAATAACACGCATTGAGAATAACGACGCTCGCGTTTACCGTCCTCGGTCGTCGTCATTCCAATTAAACGTAATTGAACACTCGCGTCGCGAAAAATCACGTTGTTCGGTGTGACGGCAGATGAAACTGCACGAACCGTGCCACTTCGACGTCGATGAAACTCGATAGGTTTGTTACGGGACAAATCAAGGGACTTTGTTCCCTCTTCTTCTTTTCTGCTTTCATGTCCGTTAGGTATCGTCCGTTCGACGGGCACCGTTGTCACGCCCCAATTAAGTCGATTTAGTGCCGTATTACGAAGTAAAATAAAAACTGAGGAAGAGAGGGAAAGAAATGACCGAAATCAAGCGCGTCCCGGAAGGTCCATGTTAGAGACGAGACCATCGATGATGAGAAGAGGGTCTCGATCGCGCGGAGAATGCGCCCGAGTGCGCTTTCCGGTGTGCCAGAAAAAATTGGCCGAAAAAAGCAGGATAAAACCAGTGTCTGGTAATTACATAAGGAATACATCGAGCTAGCGCGCGTAATAAATTATGTCCCCAATTACCGCGAGGGAGAGAGACAGAGAGCACGGACGGGTCGTGCCGGCGCGGCGGCCCCCGGCAAAGTATAGTCCGCAAGCGACTGATCTGCGTCGCTGTATCCGGCGGACTAAATCGATTCGGTTGTCCGTCCGTCCGCGCGCGGCTGTGCTTCTGTCCGTCGGAAACGCGGCTGGCCGCGTAGCACGAAACGGACAAGACTTTCCCGGTGCATTGTCGGATCCAGGAACCACCGGGCGGCGGCGGCGGCGGCAGCGGCGCGACAGGCGTTATACTTCGTAATGAACATATTCAATTATGGTTTTCATTAAACTTCTGCAAAAAAACGCGCAACCAACGCGGGCGAATTTCGATGTGGCGCCTCTTCGTGCAACGTCGCGTCTCTGTCTCTTTCTCTCTTCTCTCTCTCTCTCTCTCTCTTCTCTCTCTCTCTCTCTCTCTCTCCTCTCTCTCTCTCTCTCTCTCTTCCTCTCTCCTCTCTCTCTCTCTCTCTCTCTCCTTCCCTTCTCCATTCTTATTCCTATTTATTTTTATCACTCGTCTTCCTAATTCTCACCATCTCGCCTGTCAGATTTCCGCGTAGTTTCCGCGCGAGACATGAAACTGTTTTGCGCGAGCGATGAGCAGCAAAATGTGTTTGCTTCATCGTTTCGATTTCTTGCGCTCATCCGTGGAAATTGCGTACTAATCCATTTCGGATTTTACAACGAATTTGTGGAAGATACGATACGCACGGCGAGAAAGTGTTATCTCCGAATGCAGGAGATTTTGAGCTGCTAGAGGAGGGGGGAGGATTCTGCCAAATTTACAATTTCGATGCGATAAATCTGGCGCAGCCGCGGAACTAGTGTGTTCGCAAATATGCAGCCGTACAATATTGAATTTGGAAAAGCTGAGAGGATTAGTTTACCTAAATATTATTTCTTTGCCCTGCGTAGATAACGGCGGTCAGCTTTATAACCCGGTTCCGCCCGGTATTATGTTACTTAATTATGAAATTAATTAAAAGATGCCATTAGTTACGATGCTGCAAACTACTAAATTATCCGAATGCAATAATTGTTACGTCGCCGCTAATTATGGATTAACGTTTGTGCACAATAATATGGAACGTGTATCGGGCAGGAGCATAACAATTAATAATGAATAACAATCAGGTGCGATACGTGTTTCGAATAGATAATATCGTCCGCGCTCTGGTTTGCTTGTCTCGTTTCGTAACCAGTAAATCCATCAGAAAAAGACGTCCTACACCCTTTCAGGACTGAGTAATCCCTTTGCGACGAAAACGCGTAGGGACACGAGAGAAATGGACGAGCCGCATTGCGCAACGTTTGCTCTTGCGGAGAGTAATGAAACGTTATTCTTTAGCGCGAGCGGTATTTTTTAATGGAAACGAACGGACGGACGAGCGCGCGAACGATCTTCTCCTCTGTATCTATCATTCAAATTCATTTTACAAAAGGAAGAGAGAAGGCAAGAAAGGAAGGGAAAGGGAAATGCGATGGTAATAGTTTCGTGTCTCAACGCTCCGCGAAGAATTCTTTGATTACGCGAAGACAAACTCCCGCGCATTTCTGCATTAGATGGAAAATTCAGATATTACTAGATATTACATGTGCGCGTCTACGATAAATCGATGGACAAGGTCGGTGCGATGCGCGAAGCACACGTGCAATTATTTCCAGGGGATATTCAGCGCAGCAAACAATTTTTGTTTCTTTTTCACAGGGAAACTGAAATCATACTGCAAGTTTAATATTTGTTGTACACCGACAACCGATAGTTTACGGATCCTGTAAATCTGTTTTGTTGCGCTCTTTTTTTACACGTGTCGTCAGTTTAATAGTATTTCGCGTTATACGCAAACGAACCCCGGGACGTACCGAGCTGAACGCGCTTCCACGTAGAAAATAGAGTTCGGGATGTGTAAAAACGGAGGCAATTTTTCGATCGGCTCGCGATAAGTAACGCATGTAGCGGTAAATAACCAATCCTCGTAGTCACAATTGACCCGAGGTCTTCTTGCCGCGCCACTGATCTGAGATTGAGCGTGTAATTGGGGCCATATAAAGGTTGATCCACTTAGCTGTCGATATGGTGACTGGTATCGTTAATAGACTGAAAAACACGACACAAAATATTTCGCTGCATCCTTAACGGATAAACGGACGGTTCTTGTAAATCGTCGATTTGTCGTATCAAAGAGATGAGTATCGTCCCACGATGTTCTCATTATAGTCGAAATTCGTTTACCGAAATTAGTATCGCAAATAAACACGTCTTAACCTTTACGATCCCGCTTGTACGGGGTGTTTCAGACCACTCGGGTCACCCGATTTTTTCGTAAACGCGACATTTTAGAGAAAAATGTTTTAGACAAAAGTTGTTCAAATTAATTGGTGGGAAAAACGGTGTAATAAAAAATTGGCGTTTCCATGAAAAATTTTTACGGTGATCTTGATGTTGGGCTTTTCAAGGTTATCCCAAGGTCAAATTCATAGCGTGAATAAATAGATTCTTTGAAGCCCTACAACTTTTGCCTGAAACATTTTCCTCTAAAATGTCGCGTTTACAAAAAAATCCCGGGGTGACCCGGGTGTCTAAAACACTCCCCGCCCCCCCTTCCGTATATCACTTGAGGGATATTTAGGGGGAGGAGACAGGCTAAGAATTAAACTTGATATCGTGAGAAGGAAGACAGGCTAAACTGATACGAACCTGCGGCGATGACTTGGTACAAACAGGGTTGTTTGGAATGGCCGACCGCGTTGCTAGCCCAACACCCCAGCACCCCATAATCCATATCGGTGGATGGGGTATAGTTGAGCCTGCTGAGAGTACCCTGGCTGCTGTACTTGGTGGACGGAACGTCGTTGAGGTCGCCGCTGCTGTTGAAGGTCCAATGGAAGGTCACCGTGGTAGGGCTGGCCTCGACCTCGCAGACCAGACTTATGGTCTCATGTTTGAGGGCGCCGTGCACCTCCTCCGGCACGTTGAACGGCGGCGGGGTGGCGTTTTGGTGCCACCAGCCGTCTGAGTTGAGCACGTGCTTGCAAATGGGCGCGACTGCGGCATAACGAAATAGATTGGCGCTTCGTTGGGTCACGCTGGCAGGAAATTCACTCACGCGAGGGCGTGATATGCTAATGAAGGGTATACTGGAGGTAATTCGGCTGAGGGAACAGGGAAGAATGAAAAAACAGGCTATGAAATATTTTCACATGAACACTCTGCGAAATACACAACTTAGAGCTACTGAAATGCAGCGTCTTAGCATGCGATATAATTATTACAAGCCATCATAATTTATCAACCAAGTACCAGTGATGATACCGTAAATGATGATAAAGCATTACTCCGAATACCAGTGATCTGATTATTACGCGGTTTAATTGTTTGCGAGAGAGAAACGAATACGGCTGCGCGAAGGATTGCGGAACAAACACACGTGGTTGTCTGGAGTGTGCCTCGTGGATTTTTACGCGCGTGTGTTAACTTTTCGATATTTCGCTCGTTTCGAGAGTCTATATGAAGAGAATTTCAACGTTGAATTCCAACGCTTGAAAGATTAGTCGGGTCGCGAAATTACTTTGCGTTTTACCAAGCGCGCTTTTCCCTGCGGTAGAACGTCATTTAATCTTACTTGAATAAACTCTCGCGTTTGGCATTATATCAGTAATCAAACACGGAGCCAACTAAGCGCTCACTGTTAATTAATTAGAGGACAGTGTTTGTACATAACGTATTGAATTTGGCATAATATGCCGAACAATATGAGCCATGCATGTTTTGTTGACCAAAATACGTGCGAAGTAAGTTAACGTTACACGCGTGTGTACATAGGCGCGCACCCACGGCGCAGCAGGCTCGGCTCGGGATTTAATAGATGATTTAATTAATAATTATATCGCGTGCGCGAAATATGCGGCCGTACGTGAAACGGAGCGCTTTACACGCGGTTCATTAAACCGACGTATCTCTATTACCGTTCTCGCAACGAGAGAGAACGGCGTATCCGCACATTACGCTGCGGATTCTCGCGAGTCGGCGAAGACGAACGTGGCGCACTTGACATTCCCGTCGCTTTCGCGCCGCGTCGCCGGTAAGAAGTTACGGTTCTCTACACATTACGCGTTACGCGACAACATTCCGCGAAGTCACATCGCGTAGTCGCGCGCAGTCGCGCGCGCGCTTTCCCAGCGTGACGGCCTGAAATTTCCAAAAAATATCCCGACATTCCCGCTTCTCGTCGTGTGAAACATGGCTGGATACCGCGTTGAACAAAAGATTCGGATCTGCCTCGATTCCTTCGCACAAACGTCATACATGTGTGCACTATGGGCGCGGTAGCACAGGGCGCGGATAAAGGATCGATAACTGTCCGCGGAGCCCCCGTCGACATAACCAGCCGTTTTATTTATACTTTCCGATATTGCAAAACCGAGCGCGCAAGGATTTACGCGACGCGCGGATACGCCGTAAAATATCGGCGACGTTGCGCAAGTAGTAGTATAGGTCCGTCCGTGGTCAGCCACGGGGCGGAACCGAAGAGAGAGAGAGAGAGGGAGAGAGAGAGAGAGAGGGGGAGAGAGGGAGAGAGGAAGAAATCGCGTCTTATCGCACCTTGAGATCTTTCGTCTGATCTTTCATTCTTTCGATCAACAAGCGCGCTCGTTCAGCATGCTTTTTAAATATCAAACTCGAGGCCTCTCGTTATTTCCCCATCGGACTTCGTTGAGCTCGAAACGACAGTCTGATATCGGGAAAGTAACAGATAGGAGAAACGTCGATCACCGCGTGTGGCCGCAGTTGGAAGTTTTGACCTAGATTCCCGCATATAAATCCTCCAATTAATAAGCGCTTGGTATATTTTTTAAAAGTCAACTCGAGATCTCTTCCTCTTGGAATTTTAGCGAGCTCCAGGCGATAGACGCGTAGCGGAAACTGACCGTATTCTACCGTACCGTAGAATATTCCACCGAAATTTTCCGGTTAACAAGCACTCGTTCGGTAATCGTTTTCTAAATGTCAACTCGAGGTTTGTCTCTCTCTCTCTCTCTCCCTCTCTCTCTCTCTCTCTCTCTCTCTCTCTCTCTCTCGTTTCGAATTCCGCCGAATTCGAAGCTTAATAATGAAAAACCGACAGCGCAAGAGTCGCAGCTCGTCTCGCAAGTCTCATAGCGGGAAGCTCGTGCCGTGCCGGCGAGCCATTAAAGCGACGACGCTTTCATGAGGGCTCGCTCCTCTCGCCGTCGGGCAAGAGCGCGTAAAACATACTTACACATAACCTCGAGATTGACTACGTTGGACTTGGCGCGGCCCTCGACGTTCGCGGCCATGCAGGTGTACCCTCCGGCGGACTCTCGAGTTATGCTCTGCAGCACCAACGAGTGGTCGGACAGCACCACGCCGGCGGTGACGTTGTGATGCAGCTCCTCCTCCTGAATAAGTAAACGACACCGGGTATCTGAGCGTCAAAGAACCAGGTCCCGGCGCGTGGAAGCCGCTCGAAAACAAATCTTACGTTGCGGAATCGCGTGCAATGCTCTGAACCCGTCGCCCGAATAATATTAATTAGTTATGGTCACGCGATGGTGTATCTCTCGAAGAACGCCATCATGCTATGCTCGATCTTCTTTCACCGTTCCGCGGATTTTCTCATGCGAAGGAAAGATTAAAGAGAAATGAGGGAGATTAGTTGATTCGACGTGACGATGAACGAACCGAACGCGCTTTGGCCCGAAGAGAACTGAATTTCTGTTCCTTGAAAGGACTTTCCTATATATAAGGCATTCTGTCTCCTTCGACTAAAATGCGTCATGTTTATTCAGACAAAGTGCTCATAAATTCAAAATAATCATTCATGAAAAAATCCGGAGCACGACTGTACGGGAAGAAATCATACAGCGTGACACGACTCCGTCTCCTTGATTAACCCTTTGAATCACGCAATTAAGCGAGTGGTCGAATTCTTACAAAAATGATTCTATCTAAATGTTTCTAGGATCGCTGAGTTCGCATCTGCCATCAGAATTTCGAAAAAATGCGATCCAAGATGGAAGACGCAATATGACGGCTTGAAAGGATATTTAGTTGATGAATCCGTCACAAAAATTATTCACTGAGAAGATTGAATGCCTAGGTCAATTCTAATAGCAAATTTGTGTTTAGCACATCCAAACTTGTATACGTAGAAACATGTGTCGCTTCCTTTGCAAAGAAAAATCATTATTTGTCGGAATAATAATGAATAAATTGCTTATAGCAAAATATTCGATAAATTTTTCAACTATTTGTACATATGTAACAAATTCAAGACTATGAATGTAAAGAGAAAAACTTTTCTTTTTTCTTTCATTTTTCCTTCAATATTTTGTTTGTATCATGAAAAATACTAATATAACAAAAATTTATCAATGGATTCGTAATTAGCGGCTTCAGAATGATAAATATAATATAGATATATAAATATAATAAGAAAATGATAAATATAATATAGATATATAAATATAATAAGAAAACTGCTTCTTTGTAGCAAAACGATATGTAGAATATCAAATTTTCAAGACCAATTCTACAAATTTTCAAAATTTAACTTCAATATTTTGTTTATGAAAACAAAAAAAGTACTTCATTTTACCAAAATCTGATAGCGGATTAGTAATCAGCGACCTCAAAAATATAAATTTAGGTGAAGAAAACAGTATGTTTATGGGGGATTTTTTTTCAGAAACGAGTTTATTCTAAAAAAAATGCTTTTCGTCTTAATTTGTTTATAACAAAGAAAATATAAGCAATATTGATGAAATCAATGAACATTTATCATAATTAAGTATTCGAATAGTGGATGAGCAAAAAGGAATGATCAAAATTGACGAATTCTATGAAATATAATCGAGAAATGAAGAAAATATAAGCGGGACACATATGTCGCACTGTGACGCAAAGGGCAAAGCCCGGGGAAGACTCGATCGCGCAATCTTGTAATACAATGCAACATTTGCAACACAATGTTAACGCTCAGGCTCGAAACGCCGCGAAACGCGATGAAACCGTCCGTTACACCGGCGATCGCCTATCTCGCCGGGTCCTTTCGCCAGGCGCTGCGCGTTTCCCCGTCCGCGTCAAATTCCCGCAGGAGCTGCCGGGCTCTCATTGTTGCCCGTCGCAAATAAACAAATTTGTCTTAGTCTTGGCATTCAGCTTCACTTCCGCCTCGGCGAAGATCGCGCCCGAGGAAACAACCGCGGCCCGCTGCGGGTTGTCGTCCGCTCGAGGAGGTCGGACAAAGGGAATTTACGATGTACACTTGTCCCCCCTCTATCTTCTCCCGTTCCTATTTCCTCTCTCGTCTCTCCTACCATCTAACCGTCTCTTTCTATCTTTCTCTCTCTCTCTCTCTCTCTCTCTCTCTCTCTCTTCTCGCCGTAGAATAATGCCGTCGTCTTTCCTACGTTTTATCGTTCCTTCATCCTGATCTCCCCTCGTCCTTTTTCTGCACTCGTTGCTCCATTACCGATTTCTCCCGTGCGACTGTTCGTTTTGTTTAATTACAAGTCGCGAATTTCTCTCTCTCTCTCTCTCTCTCTTTCTCTCACACACACACACACACTCGCTCGATCCCTTTCACCTTATGAGCAGCGCTTGAAGTAACAGGAATCGATCGTGACGTAACATCGACATAAACGTGGCGTGTCGGAACACGGAGCGCCGGTCCATTTGTCGAAATTAGTTCGAAGCGGAAAGGATGAAGGACGATGCTCGGGCGATGTTCGCGGGGAGACGCGTGTATGCGGGCTGCATACACGGCGGGCGGATCGGATCGAAGGAAACCGAGTGGCGGACAATGTCGGGGGTGAAGGCGGATGTGGAGAGCGCGGCCCCCGGGGGGAAGAGGAGCGGCGCGTTCCTCGTCTCGTCGCTTGTTTCAGATGAGTAATACGAACGCCGCCGCGCCTGCTTCCGACTCCGGAGCGGTTCTCCGCGGAGAATGCTACGTGTCGGGGGCGCGATACTCCTCTTCGTGCGAGGGACAGCGAGCATCGCCGTCTTCCCGCGCTCTCCCGCGCTGACGCGATTGTCGACGAGCTCTCCGCGACTTCGTCGGGGTGAAGCCGAATATCGCCATGCTCGTCCTCGTGCCAGCGAGCATCGAGACCGCGTCGCCATCGGCACGTTGAGACTCCTCATGGTCTCGCGTACAGTTATTTTTCAGCGGATAATCCGCGATGAATAACACGTTTGTCGACGCACGCCAACTATTCCCACCTCGAAAACTTCCGCGTAAATGGAATTTCCTATTTCGACGGCCGCCGCCAAGATACGCAGCCGTCCCGTGGGACTCCGCGTACGCAGAGCAGATCTATCTCTCTCCCTCTCTCTCTCCCTTTCTCTCTCTCTCTCTCTCTCTCTCTCTCTCTTTCGCTCTCACCCTCTCAGTTCCTTTCTCTAACCATGGAACCGTTGGAACGTGAGTTTTCGCGTGTTCGCCGTCGTATTAGACGTTAAATATACGTACTCGTGTCGGGAAGGAGGGTGATACGAGAGCGCGTGCCTCGTCCCGGGACGAGCGCGGAATATATCCGCGTCACCGGCTATAATATACGAAACCTCTCGGACGGGCGCTAGACAGGGACGATAAGTTCCATCCCCTTCCACCACGTACGTGCGTCTTATCGTATACATCCCGTCGCTGTTCGTCCGCATTCGGGTTATGCATAAGTGAGGGGGCCAAATCCTTTTTTAACTTTCGACCCGCGCACACGGGCTGTTTCTCGCGATGTTGTCTTTCTCACGTGCGAAAAAGAGAGAGAGAGAGAGAGAGAGAGAGAGAGAGAGAGAGAGAGAGAGAGAGAGAGAGAGAGAGAGAGAGAGAGAGAGAGAGAGAGAGAGAGAGAGAACTCCCCGAGTGACGGAACATCTCTCCTCTCGTCGATGCACGATCGTACGTTCTCGACGAGAAGAATTACAAAGCGGTAGCCAACACGCGTCTCGCGGAATATAACGTTGAAGTAACGTTAAATTCAGACAGCGGCCGTAAATCGTGCGATATCCTCTCTTCCCCTTCCTGTTGCGCGCGCGCGCGCGCGCGTGCAAAGTTTCTTCCCGTATAAGCATATATATATATATATATATATATATATATATCGATAATGTACGATGCGTCGCGTCCGGCGAGAATTTCGTCAGCGTTGCCGCGCGCGCGGGTGATTTTTCATTGTATTTTCACGGCGAGCTGAAATATACATCGATATCGAATTATTTATAGCGTTTAACAGAGTCTCGTATTCCTGAAACGCGCGCGCGGCATCGCTAATTGACGGCGATTCGATTGGGTCGTCGCAAAATGCGAAACGCCGCCTGTAATACGGATGGTAATGATGTTACACCGTAGTCGCGATGTAACGCTCGCCGCAATGCTAACGTAATAATCATGTTCGCCGATTTCGGATTTATATTCCGGTTGACCGAGCTCTTTAAACGCGGCGTTCGTGCCGACGCGGCGCGGCGCGGCGCGGCGCGTTACGACACGGCACGGTGCGGTGCGACGACACGAATGCGATGTAACGAAATATCGAGATATCAAATAAAGTGACAATTGTAGAGCCGCACGCACACCGGCGTATTAAGCTGCTACGTTTAAGTCCGAAATAAACACACACTCGCAAAATATAAACGTCGCGTGCGCGGCGATCGAGTGATTTGAAATGGAGCGCGATCCGCCGCACTCCAGCGGGTAATCTCCCGGACACGAGCGTGTCCTCGATCAATCTTTTTTTGTCCCCTCCGCTGCGGCTCCGAGCGCGCGGAACTCGCCGCGACCGTTGTTGGCGGAACAATTAACGTCGGTAACATCGAACTTGCAAGAGAGCACGACGCGGACCGTGTTGCAGGCGGTCGGGCTGCAATCAACAATGCTAAATTATACAAGGGACATTAAACAATCGACATAAACAAGCCGGAATTACAGCGATGTAATCGCGCGCGCGATATCGATAAAACAACGCGAAAGCGGCCGGCTATCCCGGCGAAAGGCGCGTCCAAATATTTGTTCGTTCGCTCTTTTAGTTTCCAGGTGAACTGCCGGCTGCGAACCGATCTGCGGAATGAATCGCCGTCATTCGCCTGGGTGCTCGTCTATCCGTGTGCGCGATCCGCCCGCACGTTACGCATATATATGAAAAAAATATTCTCGCTCGGGACGTTCGTCGAATTTCGCGCGTTGCCTCGCGTCCCGTTCGCGTTTGCAGCGTTTGCTGTGAGATTATTTTTTTACCAGCCGAAGATGCTCCCACCGGTAGCGCTCGTCCCTTCGTTGCACCGTGGCCGGATTAAAGCGGCTCACGGAATCACGGAGGAATAACGGCTCGCGCAGCTTCGTCGCGGGAGATATACGCGACGGTGCGATAAACGCGATTACAGTTACTTACTCTTCTTTTTC